TTGAGTTTTTTAATGATAAAGGCGACGAGAAAACTGAGTAAAGTAGAAATTTCTGAACAAAAACATGAATAAATTCACTCGAAAACCCAATGATCCAAAATTATCATGCAAAAAAGAACAGCGAAAATATTAATGGACAGTAGAAAATTAACTATCATTGGAGCAAATTTGACCGTCTGAAAAGGGCCACTTAATCTGGTTGAGGGCAATTTTTGAACCAGGAAAAAATCCTCCTTTTTTCCTTCCAACAGTGTAAAACCATTCAATATCTCATAAAAATGATCTCGAAAAAAAAAATCCACTTCCGTTGTTTAAAAATACATTTTTTCTGGGGGAAAAGCTCTCCGTGCAAAGTTTCAAAACATTGCAAAAAGATCAGCTTTTTTTGTTCAGTCTAGAAAAACGAGGAAACGACCGGAATCGAATTGTGGAATTGGAACCATTCAAAAACACGAATCCGCTGGGACGTATGAAATGCAATAAAACTTTTCAAGAAGCCGCAATTTTTCTCAATTATAACCGACAGGGTGAATGGCATGTAAACGCCGAAAACAAATATTTTTTTCCGGATGCAAAAAAAAAAGATTTGGTTGATCTAAACTTTGGAAGCATTCTTTAAATAAATCAAAGGAGCCCTTGAAATTTTAGCTGTATTTTGCCCAATGAATCAGTGCGAAAGTCGTTAAGGGTCGGATGCAAGAGATTGGATTGATTTTTAAACTTTTTAAGCAGTGGTTTAATAAATGAAAGAGCCACGTTTAGCAGCCTTCTTGAAATTCAAGCTGTATGCTACCCGATGAACCAGCGCGAAAGTCGTTAAGGGTCGGACGCGAGTTGAAGTCATATTTTCTTTGTGAAAAAAAAACCTTATGAACTTCTTTTTTCATTGAAAATTAGGTGTGAGCTTTAAACTTACGTCTTTTTTTATTATGATTTTTATGAAGTGAATCCTGAAAAATTTTTTTTAATGTTTTATATAATCCTCAATTGGTCACAAAAGACTTCCTCGTTGATAAAAATTCAAAAAACTCGTCCCTAAAAAGATCACGTTGCAAATAAGCGTATCACAACGTGAAATTTATTCAAAATATGTCCGATGAGGGTGAAAAAAAATCTCTTACTCTCAAAAAATTGAAGTTTTCCGAGGTTTTACTGAGAAATGAGGCTGAAAATTCTCCATTTCTCTTTTTAATATACCTCTATCAAACCTCTACCTGAAGGTATACAACAAGCCCAGCAAAAAAAAAATTTAACTTCGCAAATAACTGAAAACAAAACCTATCATCCAACCCAAATTATGCAAAAATATGTCCGATAAGCTCGAAAATCGCTTCTCTCTATTCCCGTCCCAAAAAAAATTGAACTTTATTTTGGTCAGCGCAGGCAAATATTTCCGTATCAGGTGCAGGGCTGAGACGAAAACAACAGAAAAAGCGTTATCATTAAACGGATTCTCGTGGGGAGTCCGAGCGCAGAAAATAATTATAACGATGGGAATTCATTTCCTGTGGGTTACGGTAGGAAGACGGAGTGCAGACACGTCCCAAGAGGTCGAGTTGGACCATTTCGGCGAAAAACAGAAGGCGGAAAAAACATAAAAAATTGAGGGGTTGAAGAAAATGATTGGAAAGCGGTCTCAAAGGGCAATTAGTCTCGCGAGACGTGGAGGTGGCGGCCAAGTTTTTCAGAAATTTTCAAAGTTTTTCTTTTTTTTTTCCGACGGGGATTATGTAGAAGCTCGAAAAAAATGCTAATTATCTTTAATTTAGATGACAGGTTCTTTGCAAATTCCGGATAAGTTCGTCTTTTTTTCTTGATTTTCTGAAAAAAATCAAGCTCTTTTTCCTCAAAAAAATGAAAAAAATTTGTGTATTTTGAAACTTTCAGAGAGGTAATCTTAATAACTAAAAGGGTGTTTCGCCTAATTTTCAAGAAATCATTTTAGAAAGAGTTAAGAGAATCCTTCAAATGCGACTCGAGTCCGTTGGCAAAGCTTGATTTTTTTACGAGAAAAATATTTTTCAAAAATAATATATTTTGAAAGAAAAAAACGATGTCATGCCGAATTTCCACTTACAAGAAAATAATTCGGAAATCTCGTCAGACTCTCACACTTTAAATTACAAATTGAATCGCTGAATTTTAAAGAAAATCCAAGATTTCACGTCAAATCTTCTAAAAACTACACCTAATTGTCACGTTTACGCAAAATATATTTCCCAAGGTGGCAATTTTCATTGGATATGCAAGATAAATTTCAAAATAATAATACCTCAGTCCTCCAAAAAAATAATAAATGAAGAAAAAAAAAAATGAGGAAGCAGGTGTGTGAGTTTTCCGTGATTAAAGTTTTCCACTTTGAAGAAAAACTTTCCATTGAAATCTATTTTCACTTCCAAAATATTGCAGTTCAGAAATCAGCTTTGAATTTCTCGAAATCCGAAATCTTCTATTGACGCAAGTAAAGTGCGGTGAACCGTGGTTCATTTATTGAAAAACACGATTATTTTTCTCGAAACGGAACAAATAAAAGCACATGAAAAATATAATTTCGGAAAAACAAGTTATATAAAAATGAACGGCGAGAGCTTAGATCTTTTTTTCGAGAAATTTTTTTGGAAGGCTTCTGGAAAAAAACCGTTTTATTTTTTTCACTAAAAATCTCTTAATCGGAAAAACAAAACGTACAGGACCCAGAAAAATCGAAACTGACGCCGAAAAATACTAATTTAAAGATTTATACAAAAACGTAAAAAAACTCTAATTTTTTTAATCTAAACAGTTTTTTTCAATTTTATACAACTTCTGGAACCTAAAAATATGTCGAAAAACCATCTTTTTTTGTGATAAAATTAGCTCTTTGATGTGCTCCAACTCGAAAAAAAGGGAGCAAGTTCGAAAAATTTTTTTCATGGATGGGAATGCTTTGAAAAAAATCTTTCAGCCGACTTTGAGGAACTGTAAAAAATAAAATTTTCGCCAAAAAAATAGCGACTTTTTAAAAAAATCAAAGAAAAAAATTTTTACAAATCCTTCAAATTTCAAAAATTAAATCTGAACTGTTGCCAAAAATAATTTTGGATTGAAATCGAGATGCCCCTTTCAGCTGAATAAAGGCGAATTTCGAAAATTTGTATTTCCCTGGTCAATAAGAAAAATTAAGATTTTCCGGTCTTTAAAAATGTGAGAGAACTATCTACAAACCTTAATCTCTTTATCTATCAAAAAAAGTCATTTTTTGCGGAAAAGTCCATTTAAGGCGCACAAATTTCGCTTCCCGAGTCTACAATTTCGCAGAAATAGGACTGAAAGAGTCCCTCTTGAATTATTGATTCTCAGCCAGGCTTGATAACTAATTCACTAATGGATTTGTCCTTTTTCTAGTGTTGGATTAAATAAACAATTTTTTTCTTCTAAAGGAATGAGAGAGAGAAATTCGGAAAAGCGGGTGTTGGGACCCGAAATCGAGCTATTTTTTTACCCTTCTATCATTTTTTTGGAGTTCGAAAAAAATTAAATTTACTTCATGATCAAATTTTAGACTATTTTTTGGTCCAAAAACCCGAATTTTGAGTATTTTTTTTGCTTTTTTCATTAGTCACAGCGTTTTAAATCAACTGGAAAATGTCTTGGATTTTTTTTCGATTTTAACCTCAAAAAAACACGTCCTGAGGCGAATTTTTCACTCAAAAAAAGTAGAATAAATCTGATTCCAAAAAGTTTACTCAATTATTTACGTTGAATTTCATATCATGACTATTTCAGAACTTACTGTTTCCCAGAATCTAGCGGAAAAAGTTCAATTCTCGCAAAAACAAACGTTTCTGACGAGTATAGGAACACGAAAAAAAAAAATATAATACATGTTAATGACTCTTCAATCCTTTGATATTATCTACACTGAATAGGTTTGTTAAGAGTATATTATATAAAATGATGGGAAAAAACACATGGAATTTCGAGTAAATATAACTTTTTATCGTGTGAAGCGAGCAGGGAAAATGGGGTAAAATACCTTTAAAAGGCTTTGAAAAACTAAATTTACTAGTTAAATCCCGACAAAAGTGAGTTTAAAAACTTCCTCAAAAAATGTTAAAACTAGGTGAAATGCCCAAAAAAACACAAAAAGTTGCATTTTTCATCGGAATTGAGCAGAAAAATACCTTTTTTCAGAAAATATCCCGATTTTTGGAACATAAAAGTCCTGGAAAAAGAAGGAAGTTGAGAAAAATCTTGAGTTTTCTAACTAGTAGTGGCGAAGTAAATTGCGGCAATCTAATTATTTTCACGCAATGACCCGGATTTACACTGGAAAAAGAACAAAACTTTTGAAAAAGTCTGCTTCGGCTCAAAAAAAGCAATCTATAACGTTTTGGCTTCAAAAGTTTTCTTCATTTTATCAGACTTCCAGCTTTTTATAAGAAGACAGGTGAAATTTAAGTTTTTGAGCTTTTTGGTATTTTCTTAGAAACCGTTATAGCCTGTATACCACGACTTGGAACTTCACGGAACGACATTCCGCTGTGCCGCTGCGCGCCTTTGCGAACCTTGATCGCGCTTTTAATTAATTTTTTTTTTTTGAGGAACTTTACTTTCAGATGCTCCCACAGCAATAACAATCAATTGAAAGCGTGAACTAGATTCGAAAGACGCTTCGCGAACGCACGCAGCGGAACAGCGGAATGTCGTTCCGTGAAATTTCAAGGCGCGAAACATTTTTCACCTTTTTTTCTGGGACTAAAATTTTTTTTGCAAAATTCTTTTACTCCGAAAAAAAAATAGAGCCAGCCGAAAACCTGTCAAAATCATTCTGAAAAACACGATTTGCACGAAAAACACAGACTTGTTTAATTCAGAAGCATTTCTATGTTTTTTCCTAGCCTAATAATTAGTTTTTTTTTTCAGTCAACAACTGTTACCTATCTGTTCCAAAGTTCAGGCTCAAAGTAGAAAATGAATTGCAACTTTTAATAGGCTTCTAATAAGGCGGAGGGCGGGAAATGAGGCGGTTCAAAGTCCGTAGCAAAACGTGTGCCGAAAGAAAAGGCCAATTAAGTGACAGCTCCGAGGGCAGCACAAAAAGTCAAGTAAACGTTTAATTGGCTCGCAATGTTTTTCTCATTAGAAACCTTTTGATGCCGTAAAAAAGTAACTCAAATAAACTTTTTTTTTAGTGTTGAAAGGAGAACTTTTAAGCTTTTTGTAGCCTATTTATAACTCAAAAAGAGCTCTTCGGGGATAATTAAAGACGCAAATTTATTATTATTTCGATAGGTAAGCCTTTTCCAGTTTTCAAGCAAGACTCATGCGCCTTTAAACACACCAGCAAGCGTTTAGAAAGAGAATATATATTACAAAAGATAAAATTTCGAACCTGACGAAAAAATTTCTCGGTGGACTTCAAAAGCTGCTCGAAAAACTGGCGGCTCTCCATGATGCCTGAAAATATGGAATAAAAATCACGAGCCAATGCGCGTAATCAAACTGAATTATGTACATGGATAATAATATATTCGACATCGACAGAGAGAAAAAGATTTAAAACCATTTAAAAGTCGTTCAAACACAATAATTTTTTCAGACGAAAGATTTCAAAAAATTTGTTCAGTTCTTCCGGGTTTTTGAGAAAGATTCTAGGAAAGAAAAAAAGGCAAAAAAAGAGGAGAAAAATGCATGTTAAATAAATTAAAAATATAAAAATCGGAAGTTCCACAAAAATTCAGTGCCGAAAAAGGCGCCAGTCAGTTTTTTTCTGGCGCAGATTTTTGCTTACAGAGTAACATTTCAATTTTCTTTGATTATATCGAACTTTTTGAGTTTTTTTCTCTACTCCGATAATTTAATTTAATTCTCTGAAAGACGATCCACAGTTTTGTTAGGAATACCTTCTGATATTTATCAAATGTATAATTCGTCTATTTGAATTTACACTGCAAAAAAAATGTATTTTTTGAGAATACTTGCGATGGAAAAAGCTACAGCAAAGCAAGGAAAGGTCCAGAAACGATACAGCAAGCGAGGTGCGTGAAAAATCAAGTTTTTCTCGATTTCAGCAGAATAAAAATAACAAGAAGAAAATTGTTACAAGCTTCTCGTTAAACCCAAGTTAAAACCGAGCTGATAGCTTTGGCGAGTTGTTTTTCAAGCCATTTTTGAATGGCGGGGAGTTTTAAATGGAAAGAAGTGAAAAAAGGAAAAAATAAAAAGTGGGAAAGCAAAAAAAGAGTTACATCCGACATTTATTCATCCTGAGATGAAAAATTTAAAATATTACTTTTTCTGGGTGAGCAAAAAAGCAAAAAAAAAAAGTTGGTTTTCAATAGAAAAGAGCCAAAAATTAACTGAGAAGAGATCTTCCGTCTCTTTCTGTTTTTTCCGCCGATTTCTTCTTTTCGGTTCAGTTCAGGACCATTTAGGCTCTTTTATTCATCCAGCCTTCTTGATTGATGGGCTTTTTGAAAGGCTTGAATTGACTGGCGGTTCTAAAAAGCTGGGCTCTGCACCTTTTTGTCGAAATTATTCTAGTTTACTATCGAAAAAAATATTAAAAAGCATGTCGAATTTATCAAATGGTGTTTATAGGGAGTAAGGGGCAGAAGTTGAAAAAAAGTTCAAGTTTTTTTCAGAAAAAAATAAAATGAAGTATCATAAATAGTCCTGCTGAAGTTGCGCAAAAATATTCTATTAAACGGAAATTCTCCACCTTTGGGCACTTTTTAATCGAACTAACATTGTAAAAAAAGGCCGTTTTCTTCTGTTACTTCCAGAAAAAGTCATTGTAAGTTGAAAAATTTTTTTTTTCATTTTAAAAACGTTTAATTTCATAACTAATGCCGTGTTCAAAATAATTTCCGCGAAATGCAAAATACCCGTTAGAGAAAGGAAAAGATCACTAAATTTTGGAGAGTCAGAGATCATTTTGCATTTCGCGGAAATTACTTTGAACACGGCATTAAAAAAAAACGATTTAAATTTCCTTTTTTCGTATGGAGACCATAATTAATTCTGGCTATGCTCCTTTAAAATTCCGATTTTTGAATTTCACACTAAAAAAAGGCTTATAAAAAACAAAAACTCGACTTTACTCAGTTAATTTTCACTGGACTACCCAAAAGGTCATCAAGAATAACTTTTAAAAGTTTCATTTCCAATTTTTGGACTTTTTCAAGCGTTTGACATTCAGTGGTGGACCGGCGAACTTTTGATGACGTCATAGCTGAAAATATTGAAATTGGCTTTTCGTTTCAAAACCTTTTTTCTGACTATGCTCCTTTAATAATTCCGATTTTCGAAATTCCCATAGAAAATTAGATTTTCAAAAAACAAAACTCGACTCTACCCAACCAATTTCCACTCGACCACCCAAACAATCGGCGAAAGAAGCAACACAGAGTTAATGAACAGAGTCTCGTCAGGCTTATAAAACGACTTGAGTCAAAAACATCACAACGAACAGAAAAAAAAACCTCTTTTTTGTCTTGGCCAATGCGAAAAACAATAATTAGCATAATCGTGGCGTTTGAGGAAGATTTTCCTGATCCCTGGTCCATGGGAAATTGCCGAGTTTTGATGCGGAAGCTGGCGTCAAAACGGTAAACATGGGATTTGCCTGGAACTTTTCGGTTTTGCAAAATTTTATACAATGAGGGGGCACGGCGTTTTTTTTATTACGCAAGGTCAAGACTTCTCGTAAATTATGATGCTTAGGGTGTAAGCACACCGAGACGCACTATCGCATACTCAAATTGTTTTTTTCAATTTTAGAATTTGCAATTTTTGGATAATAACTTCTGAAATGTTCGAAATCTTGTCAGTTTGAAGAATATGATGTGAAAAAAACATTCACTTACGTTAAAAAAATATAGGAACGATTTCGGAAGGGGAAAAACTCTAAATTACTGATTAGAAAATGAAAACAATAAATATTATGAAGGAATCAGCTCTCATTGAATAAGCAATTGTAAATAAGAAAAATATTGAAATGAGAAAAATTCGAGGAGAAAATGAAAAAAGAAACATTTTGTATACTTTGGAAACCTAGCTTCAGAAAAACAAATAATGGATAGAAAGCAGAAATTTCAGAAAAAAAAAACCTCGTATGGCGAAATGTTTGTTTAAATGCGAAAAACCATGAAAGAACTAGAAAAAAAAATATAATTTAGATGATTCATATAACAAAATCTTCAAACTGCATCAGCAAATTCAGTTTGGCTTTAATTTACGCGAAACTGGTTTCAAACTACGCCAAAGGAACTGGATAATAACTTGTACTTATAGAAAAAACGTTAAAAGACGTATTAATGAAGAAAAAAGCAAAAAATATGCTTTTTTTCAATTAACTCTTTCCGTAAATCTTGCGAGAGCTTTAAAGGGTGGGTCTTGTATTCCAAAAAAACGGGTCCTAAACAGATCAAAACTACTGCTGCCGTACGATTTACGGCGCCCGCCCATGGTATTTTTTTCTGCATTTTTCTTTCACTGACAAGAACGCCGTGGGGGGTGAAAATTAGGCTTAGAAATTCATCAACTCTTTTTATTGAGTGAGCTTGAAAAATAGGGCAAGACGGAAAAAGCTTCTCACATGGGAAGTCATTTTACTTTGAGTCTTGGTATTTTTACAAATTTGTTCAAATGTTCTCTGAAGGTTCATATGAAGTACCATCACAGTTGCGGTCAATAAGAAAAACAGTCAAAAAATAGGGTTGAACATCTTTTCCAGGTCGTCCTGACTCGGATTTTTTAGGAGGATGGTCGAAATGAGTATCAGAAACAAGCGAACTAAGAGGCCAAATAAAAAACAGTTTCTCAAGTTTTATCTTTAATATTTGAATAATGAAAAATTGCTACAAACTTTGACAAAAACACTTTTTTTGAAAAAAAGATATAGTGATTTGAAGGTCGTTCCATATTTAGTGACACCCCTGTATATTAAAAAAAAAGCAACTTGAACGATAAAGCGCTCTTTTTGAAACTATATAAAAACCGATCATTTTTTTCTTCACGATGTTTTTTTTTACAAAAAGAAGAAAATTGGCGCTTCGATTTACAGAATATTTAGTATCACCGCGCCCAAGTGCACTATGGAGCGTTACAGAACCCGAAAATTGGAAAATCATCGTGCAATATACGCTCTAAAAGTATTATCAGGGTGTAATTCAAGAATTCATCATATAAAAACATTTTGTTTGTTGAAACTTTGAAAAAAGATCAAATGAGCTACGTGCTGATAGCGTGTGATACCACGCTTCAGAAGTTGGGTGGAAATTGTCATTTCTGATCATCAATCGATTCTTTCGAGTGCGGTAATATTTTTTCTTTCTTTATTCGAACAGCCTCAGATTTGTTGTTAGAGATCCACTGAGAGAATAAATTTCGACCGCCACAAAATCAGAAATTTCAAGTAATCTTGAATTTGAAAGCTCCAAGAATAATGACACTTTTTGATCTCAAACTTATAGTCATAGAACCTCACTTTTTTTGGCATACTTTTATATATTTTATTCAAAAACTCTAATTTTCCTCGGATCTTTCATTTTTGAAATTTCCACCCAAACTGCGATAAATTTCGGCATTTTTTCCTTTCTAGCCATTCCAAATGCCTTCTCACGTTTCTGAGGCCTATATAATTGTAATTTGATCAGTGTCTGTGGAAATGATTTTAATTTTTGAGTTTCAGGTTTTTAATTTGAAACTGGACTTATTCGTTCATTTTCAAACTTAAACATTTTCACTCGAACTTGCAGAAATATCTTTTTCAGATAGTTGATCCAAGATCAATTACGATCGAAAGCCCACAGCCCACAGCTGAAAGCGAAGTTGGTTTTTTTTCGATTAAACAAAGTTCAATACAAAAAAACTTCAAAAAGAAAGTCAAATAGAAGTTGCTGAAAAAGGAATTTCAGTCTTATCATGATTGATGATCCTAAAATTTCGAAAATATATTGAACGGCGACTTGAATAGAAAACTTTCCGTCGCTTTCCTGAAAATGGAGAAGGCCGGAAACTCGCCAGGAGTTCATTCATCCCAAAAATGGCGGAAAATAGTTTTCCCCTATGTTTTATAAGGTCTCCGGAAGCTTCTACAACAAAAAAAATCTCGAAAAAATCTCGTTTGAAATAAAATTTTTCAAATAAATGGTTACAGACGTCCACAATGGACACAAGCCATGAAGACGAAGCAAACGCTTCGCAACGACCAGACCGCCCAGACACGGTTAGTTTTCGACTGCAATATTTCATGACTCAAAAAGAGACTACGCCATTGAGAATCAATTTTTTGATTTAGAAGATGTATTGAGAAAATATGCTCTAATTTACTCTTCGCATTTTTCACGAGGCACTCGAGAAGAATTGAACCTACTCAAAAAAGTCAATCATGAGATTAAAAACGTTAACACAAACTTGCGAAAAAAAATTGAACATTCGAAAAATTGAAAATGATCGGTTGAGCGGTATCACTACGTTCTTGACGTTGCCCAAGACCACGTGAAGTAAAGGCTCATTTCTTTGGTTTGGCTAAATGACTTGGCTTGGCCCCAAGTCATGGACTGCCTTTCCCATCCTGCACATCTGCTCATGAGAAATCAAACCTACTCAAAAAGTCGATCATGAGACTGGCCCTCTAACCACTGCGCCAGTTTACCTCGGGTAGAGATGACGGTCCAGGCGCGTACAAGAAACTTGAAAAATAATCTTATTCTTCGAAAATCATCGAATTCAAAATTTCAACTGCAAACAAAATTTCATTTTCCAGCCGCAACTGACCCACTCTATGCCGATGTCGTACTATCAAGGGGACGCTGTAAGTTTCTTTGATTTCTTTCCAATCTTTCCCAAAAAAAACTAACACGGGAAGTGCGAAAGGTCGAGGTATTGGAATTTAATGAAACTTGGTATATAGGTACTTCCGAACACCCTGAATCCAAAGCAGTTGAAAAAAAGTGCGCCTTTTTGGTTCTAGTCGAGTTAGGGCGCCTCAAAGTTTGCACGCAAAAAATGCATTGGAAGGGAGGAGGGAATCTGTTGCGACGGCTAACTCTAGCTGCCAGCAGGCGGCGTGGTGTAGTGGCTAGAGGCCTTGCGCTGTGAAACCTATGATGCAGGTTCGGTCCCTTTATGGTGACATTTTTTTTTGCCAATTTTTTTATTTGAAAAATGAGGAAGTTTTGATGATGGAGCATAGAACTACAACAAGTTGTTATTTATGACATAAAACTATGAACTCTCGTAAGAATAATCACGACGCCCCAATTTCCTGCACAGAGCATGACAAAAAAAGACTAAAAAAATTTTTGTTGAAGGTCTTTCTCAAAACGACATAAAATAGTGAATTTTAACACTTTGAACAGTATTTTTCGTTCCATCTTCAAAAATTCATCAATTTTTTTGAAAAACTTCATGGCAAAAAAAATTTCACCAAAAAGGGACCGAACCTGCATCATAGGTTTCACAGCGCAAGGCCGCTAGCCACTACACCACGCCGCCTGCTGGCAGCTAGAGTTAGCCGTCGCAACAGATTCCCTCCTCCCTTCCAATGCATTTTTTGCGTGCAAACTTTGAGGCGCCCTAACTCGACTAGAACCAAAAAGGCGCACTTTTTTTCAACTGCTTTGGATTCAGGGGGCTCGGAAGTACCTATATACCAAGTTTCATCAAATTCCAATACCTCGACCTTTCGCACTTCCCGTGTAAAAGGAAATGTTCCTTTTGGGGTGATATAGGCTACATTTTAGCTGCCTTTTTTGCGCCATTTCATCGGTTCTTATGCACCTTTTTTGCTACCTCTTGCTTTCTCCATCACTTCTTGAGCCTTAAAAATCCCAACAAAAAAATAGAAGACTCGATAAAGAGATCCTTTTTGCTGCCTTTTTGAGACCTTTTCTGAGCCTTCCACTTTGAGCAGCCATTATCAGCCATTCCGAAGAAGCCTCGAGTGAGGAATTACAAAACTTTTCAAGAAGAAAAATGGAAGTAATGCGTGAAACTATCTAATAATTTTGCCCATACAGAAATTTAACACGGCCTTTCGGACATTCCATGTTCAAAGTAATTTTCTCAAAGTTCAAAATCCTTCCAGATCCTTTTTCTTTCTTTGACGCCGGTTTCGAAACTCCCAAATTCTGGAGAGGGTTGAGCCCAGTGACAGAAAACAAAGATCACCAAAAATCGATTACTGTCTTGTCCATTACATCTAATAGATCATATTTGACTAAAAAATAAATATTGACTGATATTGATTGAATTTTTCCAAATTGGCTATTTTATAGATGACGGAGTTTCTCCGCCGAAACGAACGTCTGATGGGCCCTGAGATGCCAACTTACCAGGTCGCCGTAAGAAGGAACCGCAGTGGGGAAGCAGTAAGTTCTGACCTACTAAATTTTTTTTTGAAGAGCCTCCAAAGCCTCAAGATATGGGTAAAGACCTTCAAAAAAGTGCTTTTCAATATTTTTCTCCAGAAGATACTTTTTTTTGAACAACGAAACTATTTTCAATTATTAAATGAAAGTGAATTTTTGATTTTTCGAGGTCAGCTCCAGCCCTAATTGTTATGAAAAACCTTAAGTTCTTTGAGAATGATTACATTCGGATGAAAAGTAACTCGGAAAATAGACAGATTTAGTAACAGTTGGTGTCTTATCAAACCCCCCCCCCCCTTCCGGGAAGCTTGAAAAACTCTTTCAGAACCTGGTTTGAAAGATTATTGCCAATGTAATCAATGCTGACCTTAAAAACTAACAACCTTTAAATGCCCTGAACATTTTAAACATCAAAAAAATTTAGAAAAATTTTATTACAGCGACTCGAGTTGACCCTGGTGCCCGCGCGGATGAGCCCAAATGTTGGATTTTTTTAAATTTTTTTATCCGATCTATTTTTTTAACTGAAAAGTTCAATTATTACCAGAAGAATTACAATAAGAACGTCTCAAAAATGAAATCGAGATCGGAAGGGAAAAAAAGAAGTCGAAAAATCAAGTGGAAAGCTTTTAGAGAGAAGTATTCTCCTTATAAGCAAAAATTAACTGCATTTTATATATTATTAAGAAAACATGTTTCTTTATAGATATGTTTCCCACTTGGAACAATCTGCGTCTATTTTCCAACAAGAAAATCGACTTTTTCGAAGCGATGTTCAAAAAAACGAAATTCCAATATTCTAAGAAAATTTTGAAGGCTTCTCTCGTAAAGAAAGTTCGATCTAGTGCTCTCAATTTGACCGATTTATGTCTCAAACGGATAAAAAAGTCCAGACTGACAAGAAATATGTCGATTGTGATTTTTAATAATGATACTACAGACGACGATGGCTATGGAAGTACAAAGAACCGAGACGGCCCGAGGAGAATGGGAGGTTCACCCAGAAAGGAATGGAAGCGATCTGTCGCAGAACTTGGTTAGTTTTTCTAGCCCTCTTCCATTACTTTTGAACTCTTATTTTCTGGATTTTGAACAAGAGAATAGGATGAGACTACAAACACAAAAAGAACATTTAGAGCAAAAAGATTTTCAAACGGTTCTTTCATCAAAAAAAAAAATCCTATTTTCTGACCTTTCTCCATTTTTGAGTAAAGGTCAGATTCTAAAAAAGTTCTGTGGATTTCAAGCTCTCTGATCGGTTAGAGGGCGGAGTCTGAGAGATTAATTGACGTTCAAAAATTGAACAGGTTATATGAAAACCTCTGACTTTTTGAGCAGGATGTTTGTCGCTGACTACTAGACTTGCAGATAATTTTCTAATAGTAACGGAGAAAATTTTCAACACTGTTTTTTTTCTAGACTCGAAGAATTTCGTCTTTTGGACGTGACAGCTTTTGCATTGAACGAAATTTCTACGAAATAAAGACTTTCATATTTTTTATCGCAGCATTTTAAGGCCGAGGCCAGGAATTTCTCCGCCGACGACTTGAATGTGGAAGACGACGAAGAAGGAAAAGTTGAAATGGTGGAAAAAGACGTTGAAAGTCCTGAAGGCAATCCGGTCAGTTTTTTCTTCTTCTTTTTTTTTTTGACTCAGAGGAATCTCTTCTGATTCCTTGGAAATTTTAACCTTTGGGTTGAGCTAAAAAAGAAAAAACCGAATGCAAGTTTCTCTATGGACTTCATATACAGTCTTCGACGGTTTCGAAGAACTCAAAAACATAATAAGTGGTTTCGGCAAATCATCATCAATCATCATCAATATTTACTTAGTCAGATGGAATCGACTAGGCGGTGGAAAAATTGCTCTTTTGAGCGGCACTAACACCGCCTTTGGCGAAAAAGAAGTCAAAACGTGTAGTCGATTGAATTGAAAGCATGGTTTTACGGTCCTTCGCCTCGCACTTCCACAAGTAGATCCCTCAGTTTCGCGGGTACGGGCACGTCGGGGATGGCACGGACGCCGTGTACACTCTAGGGTAGCCTCGGCCGATTGAGAGAGCTACCACTTCGAGTGAAGAAAATACACGGAATGAAAATAATGAAAATAAATAAAAAGAAAAAATGAAAATAAATTTTAAAAAAGACAGGGCTCCCGAGACTCGAGTGCTGAAAATAGTAACCATATCGTTTTTCTTTGCAAAATCCCAGTGAAACCATTTAAAAACTCGAATTTGCAGGCTGTCTCCAGCGCAGACTCTTGGGTCACGATGAGGAAGCGCAAGGCTGGCGACCCGCGTTCAGCCCAACCGCCAAAAGTTAGTTCCATAAAAATTGAGACTTCAAAATGTTATCAAAAAAGCTTATTTTAAGACTGAAATTTTCAGAGGCTTTCGACCTCATTATGCCTGAGCTAAATAATTTTTCAAAAGAAAGAAAGTTTTCGTCGGTCCCTATAGGGGTTTAGGGTCTGACCTCTTGGCCGCTGAATCTCAAGTGGAACCTTTAGGGGTCTTTCAGTTTCATTCAAAACACGTTTATTCAGTTTTTCCATGGAAATGCTTCTTTGCTAGGTGTTCATAACAATTATCGACTAGCGTTTCCTTATAGAGACTACTTTTGCAAGCCTTAATGCCCCCTATAAGAGTTGTTGAAGTGGTCCCTAGAGGGGCCCTATGGTTGCCCCTATAAGGACCACCTGGAGTTCTTAAATATGAGATCAAAAACCAATGAAAAGTTGTGAAGAGAACAATTGTAGTGATCTTCCTTCGAAAAGCGCGAAAAAAAGTGAAATTGAATTTTTTTTTTTGCTTCAAAGATGTTGAAAATAAATTGATTACCATAGAAAAACGTAAAATTCAGAGACAGCTCCCGGGACCGACAGGCTCGGCCATCAAAAGGTCAGGACAGGAATCGGTGGAAGGACCGGAAGGCAAAGAAAGGAGGGTTGAAAGTGTCAAAGTTGGTTTTTATTCTTTAGAGAAGTTTTCTTGTTAGGAAATGTCAAAGACACAAAATAAAATCAAATAAAAAAATCGACTTGCACTTTTGGGATTTTTCGTGGAGCCCGCTCAATTACCAGGATCTGAATTCAACTAGATTTATTCAACGCAAAGATATTTTTTCTAGTGAACTCTTAAAAGGCGTTTGAACCACTTGCATGATCACTTGAAGACCAAAAATTGTAAAAAAATTTCGAAGGACGCGCATTTTTTTAAAATCGATGTTTTAGCTTCAATAAGAAATGAGAAATTTCTGGACAGTTTCAATGATTATCCATTTCGAAGGCACTTTCCAGAATATCAAAAATTCTAAAATCAATAAAAGGATGAACCTCTAAATTTTTGGTTAACGGAAAAATCAGATTTTGAAAGAAAACAAGTCTAAAAGCTAACTTTTCATTTTTCGTTGATCCTTCCTTTTCTCATTACGCTAGTCCTGAAGGATGAATTAAAGAATGAAAAACAGCTTCGAAGAATAAAATACGCTTTTCGCATCCGATGAGACTAGAAGATTTGAGAATTTTGAAAACTTCGAAACGTCAGCGCGGAAGATAAAGAAATGTGAGGCCAATGCGAGCGTGTATAGGATAAGTAGGGGGCGCAAAGCCCCGCCCCTTCACGCCACCAAAATGACGATTTTTTTGTTGCAAAACGGTTTTGAGGCGTTTATACTAGCTAAAGTCCCACTTTAAAAATGAACTGTTTCTGTTAATCTATGTAATCGACAACGCTCTACAAGACTGAATATTTTTAAAACTATGTATTTTTCAAAAATAAGCGAAAAAGTAAGATTTAACACGAAAAAAACTGACAAGTTTCACAAAATCGTCGCGTTTCTGAAAACCAAGTGAGGAACGCTTCCAAATTTTGAGTATGTTATACATTAACACTTCCTTTATTTTTTTGAATAAAAATAAAAAAAATCTAACGACGCGAAAAAAAAATCGAGGCTTGTAAAGTGACACCAAACTTTGAAGCTGAAATGCGAAAAAAATTTCAGCGACATGGTATACTTTTTTTATTTGATTTAAAAAAACTCACAATGTGCTCACAAACAAAAAAATTCAGAATGAAAAATAATTATTGGGACAGTGAATCAAATTATATTTGGATTTTACCAAAACCTCCTTTTTTTCGCCTGCCTCGTTGACGCATGAGAGAATAGGATCGCGTCTATACTTTTGATCAGGTTATTAAGCGTTCAAAACTCTATCGATGAAAAAATTATGAAAAAAATCAAACGACGCGAAAAAAATAACGGCTTTGAAAACCTCGAAAAAATGGCAATTTTTTTGAAATTTTGGAAGGATTCGTGCAAGCATTCGTAGCTGTGTTTGCGTCAAACACACCGATGCGCCATTTTAAATGTTGCAGGAGCCGTTTTTTTGGAGTCAAATTACACATTTTCCTGTTTTTATTTCGAAATAACATTATTTTTTTCATTTTTTTCTTTTTTTCCAAATCGAATGATAATAATTTTTTTCTGAGTAGAAAAAAAGAAAAAAATTAGCTGAAAAAAATCCCTTTGACCTTTTTTTCTAGGTAGTTTTTTTGATATTTTATCAAAAAAATTCTTATGAGGATTGTACAAAAGATTCATACCAAAACATGAGGCTCAGTTCTGACAACCTCTCAGAACAGAAAACCGATTTAAAAAAACGGTCCAGAAACGCGCAAAAAAACATTTAAAAGAAAGCGTGCGGCAGCGGGTAAACCGTGAGATTTTTGCCTCCAGTTGTACGCCGCGCGCGCTCGTTTTTTGGCCATAACTTTTTTCTTAGTGGAGCTTTTTTCTAAAACTGAACGGATTATGAAAATGGACAGTCTCCTCTATCGAACAGTGTAAAAAGCATATTTTTTGGATCGTTTTGAAGAAATGGCTTGCGGACCCTAAGGATAAGAACTGAGGTCATTTTTGTCAATTTTGAATCGTATTTTTGTGAGAAAATGCAATGAGGGCGGATATTGTTTCTTAAGAATACTTAACGGCCTTACTAACTCCTAAATTGAACTGACCAGGGAATGTCTCCACTCGCAGTGGGACTTCCGAATGAGACTAGGTTCACTAGATACCATTTTTTTTTTTACCAAATTTGGTCTCAAAAACTGTCCGTAGACATTGAAATTATCAACTTTAAAGAGCCCTTAACTTTTTTCACAGACCTCGAGGGCATTTTTTGTATAGTCAATGTTTCCCGACTTGAAAAGCGCGGGAGGCGGGGCAAGGGGCGGGATGCGTAGCGTGTGCGTACGCGGTTCTTGGCACGAGTTCAATTCAACCGCCAGCGACAATTTGGAGAGCTTCTTTTTAAACTATTTATGGATTATTTTCATGTGTGCATCAAAAAATAGTGGAAATCATAAAAAAAAGAGCGGTTGCCGAGCTTGTTAAATAGTCGTTGGCGATTTAATTGAGATCTTGCCAAGAACCGCGTACGCACACGCTACGCGTCCCGGCCCTTGCCCCGCCTACCTCCCCTTTCTAGTCGGGAGACATTAACTATAACCAGATTTGGAATCAACCTAGAAAACTACGTCTAGCGAGCCTAGTCGGCGTTCTTGTCAGTGAAAGAAAATGCAGAAAAAAAATCCCAGGGGCGGGCGCCGTAAATCGTACGGCAGCAGTAGTTTTGATCTGTTCAGGACCCGTTTTTGGATTACAATACCCACCCTTTAAAGCTCTCACAAGATTTACGGAAAGAGTTAGTTGATGTCGTGTTCAAAGTAATTTCCGCGAAATGCAAAATGATCTCTGACTCTCCAAAATTTAGTGATCTTTTCCTTTCTCTAACGGGTATTTTGCATTTCGCGGAAATTACTTTGAACACGGCATGAAAAAAAGCATTTTTTTTTTTCTTTTTTCTTTATTAATACTTCTTTCAACGTTTTTTTCTATAAGTACAAGTTATTATCCAGTTCCTTTGGCGTAGTTTGAAACCAGTTTCGTGTAAATTAGAGCAAAATTGAATTTGCTGATGCAGTTTGAAGATTTTGTTATATGAATCATCTAAATTATATATATTTTTCCAGTTGTTTCATGGTTTTTCGGATTTAAAACAAACATTTCGCCATACGAGGTTTTTTTCTGAAAATTTTTTTGCTTCCTATCCATTATTTGTTTTTTTCTGAAGCTAGGTTTTTCAAGGTATATAAAATGTTTCTTTTTTTCATTTGCTCCTCGAAATTTCCTCATTTCAATATTTTTCGTATTTACAATTGCTTATTCAATGAGAGCTGATTCCTTCATAATATTTATTGTTTTCATTTTTCTAATCAGTAATTTAGAGTTTTCCCCCTTCCGAAATCGTTCCTAATTTTTTTTAACGCAAGTGAATGTTTTCTTCACATCATAATCTTCAAACTGACAAGATTTCGAACATTTCAGAAGTTATTATCCTAAAATTGCAAATTCTAAAATTGAAAAAAAACAATTTTGAGTATGCGATAGTGCGTCTCGGTGTGCCTACACCCTAAACATCATAATTTACGAGAAGTCTTGACCTTGCGTAATAAAAAAACGCCGTGCAATTTACGATTTTTTCTGTTGTCAACAAAGTTATTTTCGTCACAGAAAACTTCTATTCGTGTATAATTTGCTAGATTTGATTGCAAAATGCTTCTTTGGAGAAGAATGACGATTTTATACAGCTTTCGGTTACGATATTGATATTTTGCGTTTCTTTGTACTATCCGTGTGTTTTTTGTCTGCCTCAATGATTTTTCCAGAAAAGAAACCCCTGTTTAATTGAACCTTGTTTTTTTTAACTGTCTTAAAAAAGGCGTGCTCGCTAAAAAGGATGTTTGTACAGCTTGCCTCACCTCGCCTGTTTATGGCGGCGGGTCGGATTACGGTAGTCAGGATAGGTTTTTCGGTATTAAAATGAAAGAGAGTGAAGAAAAAGAAATAGCACATCACCAAGTGCGCCCCATCGTTCAAGTTTCAAACTCCCGCCTAACCCCTACAGTAAACACTTGAACTAATCCTAAACCTTTGATGGAGGTTCATTACGTAAATATATTCAAGGCTTTATTTATTTTTATAGCCTGTTCGTCTTTATAGCGTTTAGCTATTTGTACATTTCATGGCCAACCTTGGTCATTATTGTTGCCGTTCGCTCATTTTATATTTGTATCTTATCAAGGTTTAATTACCCAAGTTTGAGATCCCAACAAACGGCCGCACAAGTGCTACACCCACTCCTGCCACTTACCGCCCACGCAACGTATATTTTTTTTATATTATTCATCTTAATCTTGTATATTTCTTTAGATTTGTTGTATAAAGAAACCAAAAAAAGAAAAGACGGTTTTTTTGTGAATAGCATTCCAGTCCTCAACATATCACTGTAGAGAGAGATTGTCTCTGAGTGATTTTACTAGAAACTCTCAACAGAGTTCTAGAATAGAAAACTAAGAATAACGTGGAATACTAAAAGTGCGTGTCAAGCAAAAGCTTGACAGTGATAGCGTTTGTTGAAATCAGGAAAAATGAGCCTCAAATTAGGTAAAAGATTCCAAAATATCGTCTAGTCAACTGCAAACTCTAAAATAGAGTAAGGCAGAAGGATTAGGCATATTACTAGAGTATGTTTTTTTTTGTGATGTACCTTATCTTGTAACCTCAAGAAATAGGCCCCAAACAAAATGCGAAAAAGGAAAAACATCAAAAAAACTTCCTGGCTTCGGAACTGACCGGCCGCCAGCCGCCGTAGCACTGTCTTCACATGCGGGATCACGTAATTTGACAAGAGATTTATCATTGGGGCGCTCTTCTTTTCACACCTCTTTGATTCGTTATTTTTTTTTCTAGGCCATTGATAACGCAAAACGGACGTGCTGCGGGCGTTTCTGAGCAATTCTAAAGGTCATTTAGGAATGCTGACGATACTAAAGTGATCACTAGAAGAAATACCCCAGAACGTCCGGCTCACGTTATAGGCCATTCCGCGCGAGCTTGTCACGTTTTTCTTTCTGCCAAAAGGCCAGGTCAAATTTTGAGCAATTTCGCTTCAAGACCCTTGTTTCTTGCCGTTATAAAAGCAGAAATTTGATCTAATTTGGTATACGGTCTTTTTGGCGGAAAGAAAAACGTGACAAGCTGGCGCGGAATAGGCTATACCAATGTCCGATTTTTCTCTTCTTTTTGAGTTTTTCATGCCCAGTGATCCCGCGAAATTCAAAATATCGTTCAAACAATTTGTGAAAGTTACTTTAAACACGGCGGTATCTTCTTTTGCCATATTTCATTCCTTTTTTGATTTTCTTTCAATGCTTGAAATCTTATGAGTTCAAGAATATGACAGGATAAAACGTCCGGACTGTGTGTTGAAGCATCCCCAGAATTACTCAAAAACGTTCAGAGCGCTTTCAGTTTTCGTTACCGAGTTCTTAGACAGGGTTGTGCGAGGTCCGGCTCGTCAGCCCAACGGTTCAATCTTGTCTGAGCCCGGGCCAGGCTGAGCGAAGCTTTAAGCATAAACAAGCCCAAAAAGCTCAAGATTTTTCCAAATCAAACATCAGCTTTTTTTTACGAAAAGTTGCTTTATGCTTTTTTTTGGTGAGAAATTTGAGTCTGGATACAATTTTTACATAATGAAATTTCAAGTTTTTTTTTTGAAGCCTGGCCTGACTACAAAAAACTCGCGAAGTTTTTCCGAGCCAAACGCATAAGCCCGGACTTCGGTACCGCAAAACGTAAGCGCCCCGGAGCCTAAGTAACGTTCGGGACGAGTTCAATTAGCGTTACCGAGGTCCGAGTAATTGAAGCCCAAATAAAACTAAAATCAATAAAACTTGCGCGGGCTCGGACCAAACCGGGCTTCGAAAAAAAGTTCAAACTTCATCATAAACATTTTTATCCTAATTGGAAATTTCAACCAAAAAATTACTTTTCATCTGTTTCGTCAATCAAAAGTTAGGGAATGTATTGAGGCCGATAGTTTGACAATCTGGACCTCGCACAAGCCTGCTTTAAACAGGTCACGAACAATGTCTTTGAGCAGTTCCAGGAATTACGAATTTACTGTTAATTTCCTTTCCTTTGCAAAGTAACACAGAACAAAAAACCCTCAGCTGCTTTTACGAGCATTGGGCTGGTACCTGTTTTGGTTGAGCCGGTCTCTCAGTTGATCGACTTCGTCTCGAGTTTGAAACCGTCTTCGCCACGTTGAGTAAGGAAGGCGGAGTTTTCGTCATCGCTGTTGACTGAATTTTCGAAGATAAAAGGCTTTCAAATGCGGAAAAAAGGATATACAGTGGCGAAAATGAGTGAGTATTTTTTGGTTTTCATCCGTAACTTTGTCAAAAACAATCGCTTTGACCTGAAATTGCGATGTCTATGATGTTAGTGATGATTTGAATTAGAGTTGTGAACCGGTTCCAAAAAAATAACTCCGAAAATATTCTTTTTTGGATATTCATCAAAACGGTTTACCTTTGAAAAATCTCAGGCTAAAAAAATCGCTTTTAACAACAAACTTCTTCAAAATTTCAGGCCAAAACAATAATTTTTTTCAACAAAGTTATAACCGAAAAAAACCAAAATTACTCATTTTTCGCTAGTGTATATACAAAAGTGAATCAAAAAAGAGCTGCTCGTATAGACGATTCACGGCTAGCTTAGGACGCAAAAAGGCGTGGCCTGTCAGCACTCTCCACCAATCAGGCACTGTTCTCTTTTCGTGGCAGGACCCTTTTCAAGATGGTTCAAGCCAGCCGTGAATCAGCTATAAAGTTAAATTATTTTTGCCACAGCCAGAGTTTCTGCGGCCTTGAATCACAATCGATTATTTATTGCGATCGCAAAAAATGTTTGCAAACTAAATGAAACCCCCGAGTTTGGCCTGAGGGTTTCTAACAACCACTTTTTTTTTAAATCTTCATATATCTCGGGCAAAGTCGAAATGGTGGCCGTTAAAAAGGAGATATGGAGCCTTTTTCCACCCTTTCCGACTTCGCCTTTGATATCGGATCAATGTTTTTTTCTGGCTTTAATTCAGTGTTCATAATGTCAAGCCCTTTTTTTTTCATCATAAAATTTTTAAAACATTCAAACCTCGCGTCAAGTGTTCCATTAGTAATTGCTCGATTAATTTTCCAAATTTTAGTGGTAAGCTCCAGATGTTTTCTGAATAAAAAAGTGATTAAAAAAATATTTTTTAGATATCAAACTGCACTATTTGAAGTTGTCGTTGAACCTCCATGGACAGATGAGAACAAGATCGTTGAAGCTTCCTGCAATAGGTTCAAGATTGAAAAAGAAACGTCGATTTCATCATTAGAATCAGAATTTTTCGACTGATTAGCTATGTAAAAACTTAAGTATGTTAGGAAAGCTTTATCGAGTCAGAAGAATTAACTAGGCGGTGCGCTAGAGCTCCGCTCGGCCTTGTCAGACTAAGAATCCTAGACGCCGAAGGCCGTTACGGCATTTTCCGCGGGGGTCCCATCATCGCTTTGTCAGCATCGCGCTGCCAACAGTTTCTGCTTCGGCCACAGGAATGGGCTTCAGCTTGACTTTGCGTATCCAGTTTGCAAGCGAAAAGGATCGGCACTCAGGGAGTCCCGCGGGCCTAATCTACTAGCGCTTATAACTCAGAAAACTATTTCGGCAGTTTGAACTTTTATGGAGGTTTAAAACTCATCTTGACGTTGAAGAAGCGAGACGGAATCGTGTGGAAAGCAGAAATGATGACTGAACCCAGGTCATAAAATAAGAAATGACACGTTGCCACGTGTCTTTTTTTGTGGATGTTATTTTTTTTCGATATCAAAAAAATGGGGTTCACGTTTTTTTTTGTTTTTTTATTTTAAATAAAAATTCTGGGTTATATGACGTGAAAGGTAGAGCTTGTGGTGACACTAAAAAAACTTTTTTTAAAGTCCATAGTTTTTTTAATTTTTTTGGGCTCTCTAGTTTCTTTTTTTCCACGGTTTTCTTTTTTTCTTTTTTTGTCTTCTTGTAGAAAAAAATAATTGCGGTTTGCAGTTTTTTTATAATATAAATAATTTAATTACATTGTTTTTCTAGTTTTTTGATGGTCTTTCGGATTTAACGTCAACCTGTCTTCAGATGACGTCGAGCTTCAATCTCAACTTCTGTGGAAACTAAAACAGATTTGAAATCAGCGAAAAATTCTGAACCAAAAAGGCCCCAAACTGTAGATTTATCGGTGAAATTGAAGAGTTTCCTTCTGTCACGACTTCTGTGAAAACTATCAACAGATTTGGAATCAGCAGAAAATTCTGATCCAGATAGACTTTTCATCTGAGATTTATTGTTGGAATTGAAAAAATTTGTTCTGTGACGTCACGCCAGCACGTCTCCTGATGACATCGGGCTTCAATCACGACTTCTGTGAAAACTATTTTAGTCAATGTTTCCCGACTTGAAACTTGGCCCCGGGGCCCCTACGACAGCTTTTCACGGCCCCCATAGGGGGAGCGTAGGGGTCCCTCATAGGGCCTTATGGACCCCCCTACAGGGGCCCCTACGACAACTTTTTCTGGCACCTATAGGGGGAGCGTAGGGGCCCCTCATAGGGCTATATGGGACCCCTGTAGGGGCCCCTACGACAACTTTTTCCGGCCCCTATAGGGGGAGCTTAGGGTCCCTATAGAGGTCCCTCATACATTATGAGACCCTTCAAAAGATCCTCAGTCTCTGGTTTAAACTCATCTTTCTACCTTATTTTTGAAAATCTCGCAAGTCAACCCTTTTCTCGAGAATTTATTGAGTTTTACTAGCCTATTATTGAAAAATAATCAATCTTCTAGGATTATCTCAAAATCGAACACATCAAAAGCCTCTTCCGCGGTACCCGGTATCATTGAGGATTAAGTCGGGCCAAAACAGTTGGCCGAGTTCAAAAGGCGGCGACAACTTGCCATCGGCCTGATCAAATGGTTTCTACCATATAAGGCTGTCATAGACATGATTAAGAGGTCCCCCCGCCCCGAAAACACCTTCATCACACCTGGCTCTTTTGAGTCGAACCGACCCGACTTGGGCTCAGTTCTTCTGTTTGGGCTCCAGTTGGCAGCTCTGTCTTCTTCTTCTTTTCTTTATTTCTGAGAAATTGGACTCTTTTCTTCACTTTTATAGTTGATCCTCTACTTTCTTTTCTTCATTTCACTCGTTTTTTTTTGTGAGAAAATTTATGGATCAGTTTTTCTTTCTTCTGATACAGTAGTAACTCTTCATTCCTCTTATCCTTTTTTCAAGAAATGGACATTATTTTCTTCATAGTTTCTCCAGCGGTCTACTTGTTCGATTTATTTCATTCTTTATCACTCTCGGACCTTGGTAACGCAAATCGGAAGTTCCTAGTGACCACTTTAGTGGCGTCAGAGCTCTTAAGTGATCTCTAGAGCTGCTCGGGAGCGTCTGGAGCAAATTAGAACATGTAACTCATTTCTAGTGACCACTTTAGTAACGTCAGAGCTCTTAAGTGATCTCTAGAGCTGCTCGGGAGCGTCTGGAGCAAATTAGAACATGTAACTCATTTCTAGTGACCACTTTAGTAACGTCAGAGCTCTTAAGTTATCTCTAGAGCTGCTCAGGAGCGTTTGGAGCAAATTAGAAAATGTAACTCATTTCTAGTGACCACTTTAGTAACGTCAGAGCTCTTAAGTTATCTCTAGAGCTGCTCAGGAGCGTTTGGAGCAAATTAGAAAATGTAACTCATTTCTAGTGACCACTTTAGTGACGTCAGCATTCTTAAGTGACCCCTAGAGTTGCTCAGAATCTTCCGGAGCACGCTCAGTTTCCGTTACTGGGGTCCGAGCTGAATTTGGAACATTTTCAAACTTTTGGCTCACATCCAACTTGATTGATAAGTACTTTGAAGCACTAAAATCTTATTTAAACCCAAATTTGTTACGAATTTTATTTTTTTTGTCTAGTTTATATGTCTTAAAAAGTCCAAAAATCTTAATTTGAACCAAAAAGACCCCATTTTGAGGCTTTAAAACTTGACTTGAAGAAAGAAAAAACTTTATTTTAATGTCAGGAAGCTTCAAAATACGTCATAATCAAGTTTCAGCTTACTCTCAAACTTTTTTGAAACGCAACAAATTTTCCATCTCATTCCATTATTCCCAGCCGAATCCGACATTCTCAACTTTCTTCTCGGGACGCGTCAACAAACAGACCAACGTTATCATATCTTTATCTCTGAATACGTATCATCACGACCCTTTTCCGCGATCTCCCTTCGTTGGTTTTGGGTTGTTTTCCTTCCTTTTTTCTCGAAATCTGCAAGTCTTTTCCAAGGTTTTCAATGCCCAGCTGAAGATTCAGAGTTGTTTAGTGACATGCAATTTTCAGGTGTATAAGAAAATCTAAATACACACAATATTGATTTTCTTTGAACAAAAGAAAAGAAGACTTTTTAATTACTGTAGACTTCTACGGAACTCGGAAAAAAGTCTTTGATGTACTGGATCATTTTTTATAGATCGCCTGCTTTCAGAACTTACTTTTTTCCGAGAAATGAAGGCTCAAAGTTTCATTCAACCGGAATTTTTGATTTTTTTTTTCGAGTTTGGCACCGCCGTTTTGGAAGTTGGGAATCTTGAGACTTTATTTGGTTTGTCACAGATTTTTATAGCCGATTTTGAGAAAAACTTACAATTTTTTTAATCTAATTTGTCGTACTATATCTTCGCGCCTGGGACGTTTCGAACAAAAATTTTCGACCAGTTTTAAAAAAATTTCAAGCTTGAAAAGAGTTCATCTGTTTTTTTTTAAACAATCTGGTAACTTGAAGGTGTCCTCTGTGAAAACATGTAAACTACCCAGCTAAAAATGGCTTGATCTCTTCTTTCTCAGGCCATTTAGGCTCTATTGGGACCTGAAGGTGCCACTTTGCGAAAATTTGGAGTTTCCCAAGCCTGAAGTGAACTGATATTCTTTCTCAATACAATCAAGCTCTTTAGTAACTTCAAGGTGTTGCTCTGTGAAAGTTTGAAAGTTCCCAAGCCCCAATTCCAACTGATATCCTTTCTCATATCATTCAAAGTATCAAGGTGTGACTTTGCGAAACTTCCCCCTTTCCCAAAAAAGTTTGACCTCAAACCCCGGCGCTTGGGCCTGTTGCCACGGTCGCACCAGCACAGAGAGCGTGTCTGCTGGGTGGATTTTGACGGATGGCCGCCTTCCCCCGCCCCTCCTGTCGCTTTGTTGCTCCTTCAACACGTCAAAATATTGTCCCCACTATACCTCCTAATCATTTTTTTTTTCTTCATTTGTGAGAAAAGACTTGGTCTTTTTTCGATTACCTCCGATAATATTTTATGTTTTTTTTGTTTTTTTTTTCTTGATACTCTATGATTTTGTCTTCACCATTCCATTTAAGGGAAGATTTTCTCAAAATTGAAGTTTTTTAATTTTCTGAACATTCTCTGAAAGTCACACTGTAGAATCTTTATACCTGCGCGAAATTTTATTTTTGGACAATTTTTTTAAAAGTTTTTCTTTAACATAGAACCAAGTATAAAAAAAGTTTTCTCTTCTGGGACTCATTTTTGAACTTTTTGGACCGCATTCAGATTTTTTTTCACTAGGGAACGTTTTTACCCCCCTTGATTGAAAAATTTGATGAAACTTTGTGGAAGCTTACTTAAAGGTCCCCTAAGTACAGAATAGATTTTGTTTTCGATTCAATTTTTTTACAAAAATCTTGAAAAAAACGCTTTTTTTGTCATTATTTGCGAATTTTGCATACTTCGAAGCTTCGTAATTCGAAAACCAGATCTATTGCGAAAAAAATGTTTTTTTATTGTTTTTGCAATCAAGAGGTCCTAAAGTAACTTTAACCGAAGTTTCATCAAAAGTTCAGGGGGGGGGGGTCAAGTTAGACACTTCCCAATAAGAATCGGACCTTACCAGCAGAGCCAACTCTCCCAAGCCATACCCAATGTTGGAATGAGCCTGTTGAGGTGGCGGAGCTGCTGCTCCTGGTCTGATCCATCCATCTTCTTCGTCCTCATCCACACGCGCCTGCGAACGCGATCGATTCCTGTCAGATGAAGCCAGATCCATTGGCAGTCGGCCAAATCAGAAAAGAATTAGCGTTTCAGTTGAAAATAGGTTTTTTTGGGTTAGCTTCGAAGTTGAAAGGGGCTTGTCTTGTCTTTTTTTTTCTTGTTTCAAACTTCAATTGGAAGAGGTTTTTGGCCTTTTCTCATATTCATTCTTATTGTCAAACATCGTGTTTTAAGCCAATTCTTGTACATTTTTTTGGAATCTGAATGTTTTTTTGATGATCGAAGGAGCGGAAAAGACGAAAAAAAGCTTCATGCTCATTATAAGGATAGGAAATTCTGAAAAGTTCAACGTCTGTGAATCTTACAAGTTTCCTGATTGACCATTTTGAGGATTTCTCTAGCTTTTTAAAAGAATTGGTACCAAAGTTGTAGTTCAAACACTCCTAGTATCGCTACCAAGTACACAACCTGTCTATTTTCGGCCTAATATTTGCAATGTAGACCCGCTTTTTTCTTTGAAAAAGCGTGTTTGATCATTACATTTTTGTTTTAGTTGATTTTTCATCTAATGATTTCTGTAGTTTTCCCGATCGATCGCCTTCTGACCCTCCTGTAAGAGTTGAAAAGAAAAAGCTTCTGTTTTGTATTCTTCAAAAGGCTTTTGGAAACTTCCCAGCAAGCGGTTAATTGTAGATCGAAGTGAACTCGTTGGGGTTCACACTGATCTGTGAATAAATTATTATTATTAAACGCCCCCCTCCCCCTCCCCCCCATGGCTTCCTAACACCTTCCAAAAGCCGGTTTGAAGGCTCCTGGCAGCTCTTTTTAATTTTTTACCTTGAAACACCTTCAACCTTCTGTGCACCTTCCCAAGGCCGTCTCAAGATCTTCTAGCTTTCATTTACCTTCCAGAACCATCCAGGGTTCCCCTGTGTTGAAGCTTCAATTAGCTTTCCTGTAGTTTAGACACTACCAAGAACACGAGCGCATGTAAATTCGAGCGGCCCCGTGAAGCATGAATCGTCTCCGGGCGAGCACACAGATTACGGTTTGTGCGTGTCTGTGTGCCGTCGGTATTTGCTCCGGCTCAGTGGGGTTGGAACGCAATCTAGCGGGTCATCAACATCATCATCATCAGCCGCACGTCTCAACTCTCCTCTCATCTTCTTACCAATCAATTTATCAGCTTTCCTTGGACTTTGCCGAGAAGTTATCCTTCAGAAGTTGCTTGATAACGACATTTTATTAGTTCCATTTGAGGGTTTTTTTTTAATAACTCCGTTTGAATTTATGGCTGGAATTTTTTTTTTGTTCAGCAAGGAAGACATTTAAAGTACGATGATTTTAATCAGAATTTCAGAATTTCCAAAAAATTGGACAAGCATTTTGGGATCTTCTTATCAATCAATTTATCTTATTTTTTTGAATTTTCTTGAGAAATTTCGACTTGTAGATCGAATTCACTCAAAATCATACTTGATAGGAATTGAAGTTTTTTTCGGAGATATACTAATTTTTTTGAAGAAAAATTTAATGCTCGAACTTTTTTCCTTATGGTTTCTGAAGTCGTGGTAGCCCTAAAAACGATTGAAAACGCCTCTTAACTCTGAGACCTTTTTTGAAATTGGCGTATGCTCCTTTAATAGTCGTAAAATTTTTGAAAGACTTTGCCAAAATTGAAGAAAAATCTCGAAATTTCGCTAGAATTTATGTTCAAGTTTTTCCATTGCATAATTTGGCTTTTTTTTAAACAATTTTTTTCGATTTTTTTTAGCTAAAAATATCTCGATTTTTCCAGACTTTTTTTCGTAGATGCTTTTTTTCGCGATATTTTCATCAAATTTCTTCGTTCCAAAAGACACTTCAAGATCAAAAAGCTCAATTACAAGTCGTTTTTTTCTGCTTCCACCCACCTTGTAACAAGATCTTCGATCATGTTTGTACTGAGTCTTTTGAGTAAGCGCGAACCATTTTTATTGGTTTTTCCTGTCTATTTTCGACCCCCAATGCTTGCAACTTACACCCGCTTTTTTCTATTCAATTTTTGGGAAAACATGTTTGATCCCAAGGGTAAGTACGTCTAGGTCATTGAACTTTTTCACGTCAAAATTTTTTTTGCTCATTTCTTGAATTTTTTTAATTTTTAAAGTCTTCAAATTTGGATTTCTGTTTTTGAATCACTTCGATGATGTCTTTTCCGATTCCTGGTACCTTCAATTTCAAAAAATTGGGAGGAAAGGATCGAAAACCTTGTTGATCCGTTCGCCGACCCGGGGTTTTTAATTCCATTAATCAACATTTCGCCCACACGCCGTTCCGCAAAAGATATCTATTTTGTCTCTTGTTTGGATTAAGGATCAGTACCAGACAAAAAAGTCAGAGAACGGGCCGAAATCAGAACTATTTTTAGGACTTTTTTAAGGGGTTTGAAACCTTGAGATGGCTTGTTTTTTTGAGGTTTAACGGCTTTTTGAACGCAATTTCTCTAAAAACTTGTGGTACTGGGAAAATTTTCAGTGGCCACTTTAGGGTTTTGACGTTTTAGTGGACACTTAAGTAGTTAAATTAGTGGCCACTATAGGTCTAAGTGCTACTACTAGACAACTAAAATTTTTAGTGGCCACTTTAGGGGTCAATGGATCAACATTACTGGTCCAATCTGTTTTTTTCGAAGTTATCAGAGTTAATGGAAGGAATACTGGATCGAAAACTGATGAAGCGGCCACTAAGTAGAGAACCTCTACAGCGGCCACTAAAACGGAAAATAGTGGCCACTGTAGAGGTGGATTTACTGGCCACTTTAGTGTCTTCTCCAAGTAGTCCTTGGCTATCCTCTATAGTGGCCACTAAAAATTTTCCTAGTACAAGGGTCTTCACCTGGTAGATCTAGGAGTACGGTGGCCAATTTTTTTAAAAAAATAAATAATTTTTTTCTCAAGATTTAGAGGATCACTACCTTAACTTTTTTTCCTCTTGAAGCCTAGTCAAAAAAACTAGCAAGGAATTGACCTTTACGCTTTCCTTTGTTTATATATTTACCTTCTGCTCGTTTTTTGCACCCTCTTTCGAACCTGTCAATCTTTTTTCGATGTTGACTTTTTTGAATTACCCAGCTTTTCCAGCGTAATTCTAGCTTGTTCTCAACTTTTTTGTTGACCCTTTTGAACCGTTTTTATGCGGGGATATTTGCTTTTTTGTCCAATCGCTTTTTTCGCGTGTAACTTGATATTATTTGTGGGTGCTACAGCTTTTTATACAACTTCTTTTGAGAATTTACTATTGGATTAAAAATTTTTTTATAGTCGGGTGTTGATGTTTTGGACTTTTCTATAGACAATACAGGTTATATATTTTTCTGGAGCAGTTTTTTTCTTCAAGTTCATAGTTGAGAACCCTGAAGTGGTTACTTTCCAGAATGAACCCTATAGGGGCCACTGAAACTTTCAAAAGTGGTCTCTATAGGGAAAATGCTGATCGATTATTGTCAACAGAGGATATGTTGTTCAAGTATGTCTTTTTGGTTTTTCAAATCTGAAGAAAAACATATAAAAGACCCTATAGGGACCACTTGAGCTTTAGGAGGGTTACGGGTCTGACTCTAAACCTTTTTGAAACCCCTATGGGGGTACTTGCTGTTAAGGCTACTTCACACCCCTCCGCTCTGACCACTATAGGGACCCCTTGATTATCAGGGGGTTTCAGATCTTGAACTTTTTTTTTGAATTTGAAACCACTTGGGGGCACTTGTTGGTAGGGCTATTTCCCCCTCCCTAACCTCTATAGGGACCCTTTTGACGTTCTTAAATTCATTTTTAAGCGACGCCTTCAATGGACTCTAATTTCAATCATCTACAGGTGCCTCTTGAACTTTTTTCTGGTAATTAAATTATTTTTATTTTTCTTGAATTTGAACCTTGAAGAGCTCTTGACGTTGAAAATTGACACCTACTTATCCTTTGAAAATTCTCAAATTTCAAGATCTTTTTCATAATTTCATGCTTTATCCAAAATATCCGAAATTTTTTTTTTCATTGAAGTTTAATTATGAGAGCCCCTTTACTACTTAACAAAGAAAGGTCATGTCAATGAAATAATTCAGAATGAATGAAAGATGCGCCTCATTACGAATGCGTTAATTGTCGAGCTCCCGACCTAGTTCTCACACAGCTGCATTCATCCTTTCTTTCATTCCCTGATACTTCTGAGACCTTTTAGATCAATCATTGTACTTCTCAAGCTCCGTTAAAAGTTTTATTCAAGATCTCGGACTTCGGTAACGTAAACCGGACGTGCCGGGGCTTTTCCGATCAATTCTAGTGGTCACTTAAGAGTTCTGACGCCGCAAGAAAGCTCCCTAGAAACGCTCAGAAACGTCCGGTTTACGTTGAAAAGATCCAAGGACTTTCAAGAAAAATAAACTTCAATTATTTTTTTGAATAAAATTTTTAATGAAACCTTCTTTGTCAAGTTTCAAATCGTGAATTTTTTTTAAGTCAGGTTAAAACAAGTTTAGTACACTCATGAACATCTTGAGAGATTTTTAAAGGCGCAGGGCCTATTTTTCAAATTCTGACTCCGCCTCACGCCTTGCAACGTCCTGAGGAATGTCAGAGTGGCCCCTAGAGGGGCGACCTAAGTGACCCTTAAAGATCCCTTTCTCGGGACAACTTACCTACCCTTATGGGAACACTGAAGCTTTCAAAAGAGGCCACTCTAGGGGAGCGTCCTGGTGGCCCCTATACACATTTTAAAAATCACTAAAGGGATCATTTAAGCGTTAGGTTCCTAGAGGTCAAAGACTCCCTACACCTCTAGGGACCACTTAAATTTTAGCCCTTTAGGGAAAACTATTATGTATTCTATAGGGACTTTTTTCCTCCAGCCCCTCTAGGGTTTTTTGATGATTTTCGACGTCTCAGAGATTTTCTCTATAAGAAAAAAAAGAACAGGGACTGAAGAGACGCAGATCTCTCTTTCTCTGTTTCCTCTTGTCTTTCCATGCTCTCTCCATCTTTTTTCTCTTTCTCGATGTTTTAATTGTCGTTAAATCCACAAAAAACCGAAGTTTCATAGAAATTTTTACAGAAAGAAACCAAGCCAGAGGATTTACTCGGGAAATCATCGACCTCCGCGATTTTTAATTTCGAAAAGCTCGAAACACAGGAGAAGCTCACGAAACGACACTATAGCGGAATCGAGACGACCTCTTTTGACACGTTTTGAATGCGGCGACTCGCTGGCTTTTTGATCTGCCTGCAGCATGTTGGAGCTGTCCTCGACGCCGCATGGTGGTCAGTACCTTGGATTTAATAATAATAATAATAGTTTATTCACTGATTTCTTTCAGAGGATGGTTCAGTTAGACCTAATGAGTCAGTTGTATGTTCAATTTGCTTTTTACTTTTTGCGGTCGCATTTGGAATGGTTCAAAGCGTCTCGGTCGCATTGCGGCTTGATGTTCAGTATCTTTAGTTTGACCATATGAGTCCGTTGTATGTTCAATTTACTTTATATCTCTTGCGGTCGCACTTGGAATGGCTCAAAGCGTCGCGGTCGCCTTTAGATTAAAAGTTCAGTAGCTTTAGTGCGACCTAATGAGTCATTTTTATGTTCAAATTACTTTTATTTGATGCACCGTGGTCGCACTTGGAATGGCTCAAAGCGTCGCGGTCGCGTTGCGGCTTGAAGTTCAGTAGCTTTAGGTTGACCTAATGAGTCAGTTGTATGTTCAATTTGCTTTTTATTTTTTGCGGTCTCTCTTGGAATGGTTTAAAGCGTCTCGGTCGCATTGCGGCTTGAAGTTCATTAGCTTCCAACGCCAACTCGCGAAAGTTGTTTTTAGTCAGGTGCAACCGCTCAGCGACCGTTGAGCTTCGAGTAGTTTGACCAGAAAGTCAAAAATTTGCGTAAATTTTCCGGAAATTTTTCAAAACAATTGATAAATTGAACTAAAAAAATTTGATTTTTTTTGATTTTTTTGCTCACCTTCGAAGCTAACTATTGTCGCCTTTTTTTGGCTGTTTTTTTCACTGTAATTATTCTCCAACGGAATTTTTCTCATGGTGGTCATTTCTCCGTCGCAATTTGATATGGCGATTCCCTTCGCGTGAGAAACTGACCGCTGCAAAAGTGAGAAGGGCAAATAAACATGAGAATTTGGAGAGATATGCTGTTATTGTTTCCTTTTTGGGGCTTTTATAAATTTTCTGATTTAATTGGGCTCTAGGGTTGGCCCAAAAGCTTCATAAAAAATGCGTCAGCAAAAAAATGATAGCAGAAATTATAATCGATGACAATTGATCTACTTTAGGAACGCCAAAGTGGTCCCTATAGGGGCGACCTTAGGAGCTCTCAAAGGTGCCCCTAGAGGGACCACTTAATCTTCCCTATACAGAAAACATTAAAGCTTGCAAAAGTGACCGTTATAGGCGTTTCATTAAGGGGCCACTTGAGGGGATCGCCTCTTAGATGTTTTTCCTCTGACCCCCTTAGAGACCACTTTACCTCCCCCTGCAATAAAAGTTGCAAAGGGGACCACTATAGGGGTTTCAAAAAGGAGTCATTCTAGAGGATCACCACCTAACGTTCACCCCTATAGGGAGCACTTTTTGTACTTTGTTTTTTCCTTATCTCTTTAGGGATCCCTCTGTCGTCTCTAAGTAACCAGAATTTATTCTATTTCTAACTGAAATGAGCCAAATAAAAAAGGAATTTCAAAATTATTCTGTCCAAAAAAACCAAATTTTTGTAGGTCTTCAATGGCGCAGCTTTCCACATCATTGGCGGGTCACGAAGCGAGACCGATGTGCCTCCAATTGAAGGGACTGTCCTCGGGACAGGCCCAAGTCTGCGAACTCTTCAAGGACCACATGCCAGCCGTCAGCAACGGCGCTCAGAACGCCATTCAGGTACCCTTTTTCTGGATTTGATCATCAAAAAAAGGAATTTTTTGGCGAGAGTAAACTTTGACCTGATTAGAAAGAATGCGTATTAGACTCCTCCCCACAAAAATCCAGAACTGGTCTTTATTTTGATCTTGTAAACTATCCTCAAAAGAAGTTTAAAGGTCAGGTCTACAGAAATCGTTGGAAATTTGCTGAGGTTCTGGGAAAATATTAAGGGGCCACTATAGAGGCTCGCCAAGGACTACTTGGAGAGGACACTAAAGTGTCCACTAAACGCACCTCTATAGTGACCACTTCAGTAGTGTATCATCCAGTATTCCTTCTAGTAACACTGATAATTTTAATACAAACAGATTGGACCAGTTATGTTGATCCATTGTCCCCTAAAGTGGCCACTAAAATTTTTAGTGGTCTAGTAGTAGCACTTAGACATCTATAGTGGCCACTAATTTTTAACCCCTCAAGTGGCCACTCATTTTACTACTTTTATGGCCACTAAAACGTCAAAACCCTAAAGTGGCCACTAAAAATGTTCCCAGTTCACTCGAAAGTACCTTGATCTCAATACAAAATAATTTCTTTGGTTTTTTTTTTCTTATGACTTTCAAAGACACGAAAATCTTCCCTTGAGTTGTAGCTTACGAAATGAAACTTGGCATAAAGGCTAAAAAAAAGTTTGACAGTTTTGAATCTGGGCGTTTCAAGACGAATTCTCGGCATTCTCAAAAAAAGAATTTTTTTTTTCTCATATCATTCCATTTAATGTCGTTGATAGATAGTTTACCCTGGTTTTCCCATTCCAGGAATGCCAACGGCAGTTTTCCTCGCATCGATGGAACTGCTCGACGCCGTATGGCAGTGGCTACGTCGGTCCTGTACATAAATTAGGTAATTTTTCATAGAAAAATCTTGAGTTCCGAAAGTTTTAAATTCATTTTTTTCAGGAACCAAAGAAGCCGCATTCACTTATGCAATTTTGTCGGCCGGGGTCGCACATGAAGTCGGACGGCGATGTAAGCAAGGTGGGGATTTTTAAAAACTTTACTCGTTCAGAATAATAGTTTTGTAAGCTACAGAACTGAAAAAAAAACACTCAATTTCAGTTTTTTATCATCATAGCTTGAGTTGAACTTGCTTTAAATCCGTTGAATTTTCGATTTCTTGTGAGCTTCAAGGAACAGACTTTTTGTCATCACAACTTTTGAACTTGATTTATTCTGGGTTGGATTTCGATTTCTTGCAAGCTTTATAGTGGTTTAAGCTTGAAGGAACAGATTTTCTTGTCATAAATTTTGAATTTGATTTATTTAGATTAAAACTTAATTTTTGTTCTTTAAGATGATCTGAGCTCTGAGAGTCACATTTTTAATTTCTAGCGGTACCTTATTTTCATATGACTTCTTCGTTAAATTGCTCGCTTTTTATCTTGTTCTTCTTTGTTTTATATTTGGATATTTATCAGAAGTTTAGACCTACTGAAGATGTTGTTCATCAGCTTTTTCCATTCCTCGCTACGTGATAAATTATTTCATGACTTTCAGGACTGCTCCAATCTTGCGGATGTGCTGACGAATCCAAGCCCAAAACAGTTCCCGAAGATTGGGGCTGGGGCGGCTGCGGCGACAATATCGAATACGGATACAAGTTTTCAAAGTATTATAAACTTTATATATTCTTTATTAAATTGTCAAACTTCCAGAGATTTCATCGATATTCGGGAAAAGGAGCACGATCCGCGGAGGGACAATGACCAAGGCCGGTCGCTCATGAATCGGAGGAATAACGAGGCCGGAAGGAGAATTTTGAAACGGTAAGAAATGCTGCTTGAAACGCTCAAAATTTAAAATCAAGTTCGAATTTTCATGTAACTTCCGCGAAATGCAAAATGTACTCTGACTCTCCAAAATGTAGTTATCTTTTTCTTTCTCTGACGGCTATTTTGAATTTCGCGGAATCACTATGAACACGGCAATACTATAAACGCTATTTTTCGGAGAAAAAAGTTATTTTCGATTTTAATGAGTATGCGAGTTAGCGTCGTTCTGTGTATGCACCAAGGACGTCAAATATTACGGAAACTGTGGGAGAGGCGTCGTCAAAAGAACGCCGTGGGCGTTATATATATTGCATTCACCAATTTTCTGAAAAAATCTGTTTTCTCTGCGCCCTCTTCACTCTAGAAGACTCTCGTTTTTACGTCCAATTTTAATGAATTAATGATCTCTCGGTGAGGAAAAGAGACGCAGAGAGGTCAGAATGTTCCAAAAGGTTCAATACTGAGTTCAACTTGAAACGGCTGGCTACAGAACATTGCCACGCGCAAGTAGTTTTCGGTCGTGAACAGCAGAAAAAGGCTGTTTGAAGATATAATAACAATTTTTATCGTGCTTCAATCCCTAGAAAAGGCAATGAAACTTAGATAGTTTTTTTCAGACACCGAAAGCCGAAATGCAAGTGTCACGGGGTGTCGGGCGCTTGCAATATGAAGACCTGTTGGATGCAAATGCCCGGAATGGAGCAGGTCGGACGGATCCTTCGCAACAAGTACGAGAAGGCCGTCCGAGTTCAGGTCGGTAGCTTCAGATCCTAGATTTCCGGTTTCTGGTTATCGTTTCTTGATTTCTGGAATTTTTATCACATTTATCGATTGAAAAGTTCCATTGATTAGATACAGAATAGCTGCTTTTCACGATGACTTTCCAAATTTGTAAAAGTCTCGCATGTCTGCACTCTCTTTTCTCTCGCCATTGAGATTATGGAATTAAGATAAAGCGTGAAATGTGAACTTGACGGACGGGATAAAGCGTGAAACTATTTTTGGAAAAATCCTCTTGCAGATCAACTCCCGAGGAAATCTGCAACTGGTCGCCGAGGAGGACCCGGTCACGAAAGACAAGCGGAGGACGGAAAGAGCTCTGCCCACGGATTTGGTCTACATGGACGATTCGCCCGACTATTGCCGTTATGATCGATCCATGGGCACCTTGGGCACCGAGGGCAGGATTTGCAAGTGAGTTGGAGGGGAAAGAAAGCTGTAGAGATGAAATTGGATTGATTTCTTCGGCCGAGATTTTTTTTTTTTAGGACACTCTAAAAACCCGAAAAAACGCTTTTTGGCCGTATTTTGCACACTTTGAAGCTCCATAACTCGGAAACAAAACCTATCGCGAGAAATTTTTTTTTTAGAACGTTTAAAAAAAAGTCTAAAGACTCATTTTCCACCCTTATTCGAACATTTCGAGCAATAAGCGAGGTCAAGCTCCTATACCTGTGAGCTTGAATTTGAGATCTCGGACCGATATTCGAGTCCCAATTTTGGAACCGTTTGGCTAGAACCTAAAAAATATGTGACACAAAAAATCCACTTGAAAATCTGTTTTTGGTTTCCTTGATGTAATCCATTGGCCCCGCCTTACAACACTCTGAGATTTTTGCGTCTCTTGTCTCTCACCGGGGAGCCCATTTGAATATTGAAATACTCAGGAACGCCAGAGTGGTCCCCTATGGGGGTAGAAAAAAACTGGCTCCTTTAGGGGATAAAAAAGTACCACCTGTATGACTCATACCACCAAATTTCTACTCATACAATATGTTGAAATTTGGTGATCCCTAGAGTGGTTTAGCGCCTGACCCTTCGCCCTTAAAGCTCAAGTGGCCCCTATAGGGTCTTTTCTTTCATTTTGTTCACCTGTGAAGATTAAAACGACACACTTGTCCCTAGAGGGGAACCTTTAAGGGTCCCCATGGGGGCCACTCTGGAGCTCCTGATTACCAAGCGAAAATTAGAACGTCACAGTAACTAGGCGAATTGACACTAACGGACTATGAAAATTGTCGAAAATTCGAATCTAATAAGGAAAATAGTCGATTCATGGATCTTTTCTCAGACGCGGCACCCAAGGAGCCGACGGATGCGACTCTCTGTGCTGCGGCCGCGGCTACAACACCTACACCCTCGAGCAGAAGACTAAATGCAACTGCAAGTTCGAATGGTGCTGCAAGGTGGTCTGCCAGATGTGCACCAACATCACACAGGTCGACATCTGCAAGTGATCCCTCAAGTTGCCGCTCCTCAATTTGTCCCCGTCTCCCGATGAATTATCTTTTTTTCTGTTTATTAACACTGTCTAACCTCTCTGGACTCTCTCAATTTTTCTATGACGTCATGGTTTTGGGTGAAATTGATGTTTCAGATATAACTGATTCACGGCTGGCTTGAGCCATCGAAAAAAGGGTCCTGACACGATAATTCACGAGATAGTGCCTGGCTCGTGGAGAGCTTAGACACAAGCTACCCGTGAATCAGCTATAGTAAGCTTATCAACTCGTCGGTGAGAGAGAAGAGAGATTAGAGAAGCTGGAAAACCTTATAAGCTTCTCTAAACCCTCTTGATCTCTCAGCGGTGCTTTTCATCCTGCTATGACGTCACTGGCAAGAAGAAGAGGGGTTCATCCTGTTCATTTTCTTTCTTTGCATCTCTGCACCCTCTTTATCTCTCGGATCTTTCTACAAAGACGCAGAGACTGTTTTAAGTTTGTAGCAAATGAAGTAACTTTTTCTGAAAAACCCTGAGAAATACATCAAAATATCGTCATCCAACCGTGTATCTGTAATTAATTGTTCTCTATTCTCTTATATACATTTTACTCAGGAAATTTTCATGATTTGACATTTTTTTATCTTCTTGGATATATGCTTTACATGCCATTTCAATTGCCACTTTCTGAAAAATTTATTGTGTGTACATTGCCTTTAAGATATTCTCCCCAATACATTCCCATTTTTTTTAAAAAGAAAAAAATTTAATAAATATTCCATATATTTCCTTTTTGTTTAATGTTCAACATGGGACGCTTCTGAATTAAATTCTACAAAAAAGGGATTTTTTCTTTGTTCTAACGATGATAAAGAGCCTTAGAGCCACATTTTATGTAATTAAAGAGCAGATTTGGAATCAGCGTAAAACTCCAAATATGATAGATTTTCAATATCAGATGAAAAGTCAAAACCTGAAAATTTGACTTATGACGTCACTTTTAAGGCTTCCATGTTGGTAACAAGTCTTAGAATCACTTTCCACGTGATTCGAGCACAGATTTGGAATAATAGTAAATCTCTGAATAAAAAAAGGTACTTAAAACTTGAAAAATTCGAATTCTGACGTCACTTTTTTTTCGGCTTCTACCGTGACAACGAGCTTCAGAATCACTTTTTCCGTTTTTCAAGCACAGATTTTGAATCAGCTTCAAAATCTGAATAAGACGGATACTTAACATCAGATGAAAAGTCCAGACTTGAAAATTCGACTTCTGACGTCACTTTTTTTGGCTTCTACGGTGATAAAGAGATTCAGAATCTTTTTTCACGTGAATCAAGCACAGATTTGAAATCAGCGTGAAATTTTCGAATAAGATAGATACTTAAAATCCAATGAAAAGTCAGAACTTAAAAATGTTTGACTTCTGACGTCACATACGGCTTCACAAGGCAAAAAAAAAAAATGATTTCATTCAGAATTTTTTGAATAAAACTTCGAAAATACGACGTTTCAAAATGGCGGACACTTCTACATCCGGTAGAAAGTGCCTTTTTTGTATCGGGTGGCGATTCCTTGGTGTGGGAGTAGTTTCAGGGGAACTAGACGATTCCAAAGAAGAAAAACGCCAATTATAGCCAGGGTGACGATCGTCAGATGGTAGGTCATGATCAACTTGTAGCCGGAGTGCTCGAAAAGACGTCTGAAAATTATAGTTCCTCCAAAAAAAATCTGTCTAACTTATCTGCGCTCTCTTTTCTCTTACCGGCGAGGTCATAGGAAAATGAAAAGATCACGGGAAGAGGAGAGAGCACAGAGAATGAGACATTTTAATTATTTTTGAACCCACGTTGATAAAATGGAGACGACAAATTGGGAAAACGCTCCTGTGAAGGCGAACCAGCCTTGGACGAAGCTCTAAAAGTATGCTTTAGCAAAATGTCTTTATAATTCTTTCAAAACAGCTTGAAAAGATACTTAGGAAGGCCAGAGTGGTTCCTAAAGAGGTCAGGAGAATAAATAGCCCCTATAGGGGTTGAAAAAGTGATGCCTAGAGGGGTGAAATCAAGGTGGTCCTTGTAGTGGTTGAGGGCCTTCCACCTGAGTCTCTAAAGCTTGAGTGGTCCTATAGGGGCTTTTTGATTTTCTTTTGTAAATTTGGAAACGACGTGATCGACCTCTGTTTATAACAAACGCCTAGCATGCTTCCCTATAGTGGATACTAACTGAAAACCCTAGAATGGTCCCTTACTCAAACTTCAGTGCACTCCAAGTTCTAAGGTTGCCTGACGCTCCGAAGTGCATCAAGAAGCCATTTTTAACAGGACCAAAAAAGAAACTTTCAATAAGAAATTAGAAAGAGACAGTGACTTATTGAGACGTAAGAGAAATCAGAGATCTATTTTTTTCTAAACTCTCCTCAAACTTCATTCTCTTTCTCGGATTTTCCAAGGGACAACGAAAACCTGTTTCCTCGGCCCCAAGATCTGAGTTAGGAGAGCAAAGGTGCTCGAAGAAACGAAGGGGAAGGCAAGTCCCAAGGCCACTGAGAACACTATCAGGTACAATACGATAGGTACTCTGAAATAAGAATTTTCAAAAAGTTGAAAATGTTCTCTCAAAGAACCTCGGCGTGTAATCGCACCAGTCCCATATGCAACCTTCCATCACCAGACTTTCTGTGATATTCGTTCCATTTGTCAGTAATAATCCTTAAGTTTGGATTATTTTTTGAACGGCTATTATTGAACTACCTTCGGTGGACCTTCCGATGGGTCCCGGATAGAATGGCCAAGGTAGGTGGACTGCGAAAAAGGTGAAAAAGTTGAGCAATCCGAAGATCAGAAGCTTTCTTTGGTCACTATAAAATGAAAACTTTTTTGTCGCTTCACTGCTATAGCCCATTCCGAACAAGATTTTCATGATTTTCATTTTCCGGAGAGCTACAGAACCCTTTCATGAAGCTTCCTTTCGACATCTGATGCCTGCCTCTGTGTATGCGCCTTTAATAGGCTAAAAAAAGCTTGGAAGGTGATGAAAAGCGTGACAAGCTAGCGTAGAATGGGCTATATCTTTCATGCAAATCTAAAAAAGTCTGATTTCTCTGCGACGCTCTTTTTCTACGTGCTATTTTCATTTTTCCATGAGGGGTGAGGGAAAAGAGAGCGCAGACAGGTCAGAATAATCCTAACCGTGAGGAACGACTAATTTGATAAGGATTAGTTTTTTCTTCAGAGCTAGGAATCCGTAGACACAAAAAGTTATTTTTGAAATCGAAAAAATTTTAGATGAGAAGAGAAAAGTTTCAGACAAGGTAGGAAAAGCCTAATTTTTGTTAATTTTAATGAAAAGAACCGTATTTCTGCACTTCAGTCAGTATTTTCAGAAATTCTCTTCGATCTGCTACACTTCAAGACAAGCTTCACCTTCTGAAAAAGACTAAAAAGCGATTTTTTGGGAATTTTCCAGCTTTAGTCAAAAAGAAGTAGACCCTAGTGCAACTGACACGAATTGAACTCTAGTATTGGCGACGGTGAAGTTGACGACGGTCGTGAAGATGCAGGAGAAGGTCTGGAGGAAGCCGTTGTAGAAGACGGCGTCTTCGGCGCTCCAACCGAACATGGCTATCGTCAGAGGGGCGGCCAGACTTTCGATGCAGACAACGCCGCACATCAGCCACCACATGTAGAAGAGCAGAATCACGGGAAGCCTCTCGAATTTGGGCATCACGAAGAAAGGATCGTCTGCAAAAAAAATCTCCGCTGTTCCCACGTGACGTCATTGGAACGACACAGATTTCGGCTACAATAGTCTAATCAACAGCGCATATTAAAGGCGCAGGCCACTGTATTGCTAGAGGTTCTTGAAACGAATCTTATAATTGAACGCAATTTTTCTGCAACAAAACCGGCGCAGTGCATGCACACGACACATGAAACTTTACGAAAAAGTGGGCGTGACTCGTAGAAAAACGTCGTGGCCTATGATCCTTTAATATTGCTGTTTTTTTTTTACCTTTTTTCAAGCTTGTAGAAAAAAGGGTTTAGTTTTTGAAAATATTTTTCTAGTTCTTTGAGATATTTTCTGGCCAATTTTTCAGAATATTCCCAATCAAGTAAAATTACCTTTCTTGTAGGTTAACTAGGAAAACTTTCTCAAGAAGGCGGTGTTCACTTTAATTAAGAAATAATTGGGAGGAAGAGGAGTTCGTGCCCTTCAAAATAAGACTGGCCATGGACTAACACGAGATTTCTCAGAAGAAAAACTGGAAAATGACCTGTCTTTTCTTCATTGCTGATGATTCCAACGTAGTCCTCGTCGATACAGAGTTTTGCCAGAGTGGCTGAGCAGAAACTCAGAAGCGAACTAAAGTTATAAAAATCTTGAGCAGTTATTTTTTCCATGATCAAACACAAAAAATGCGCAAGTGGTGTACATGTTGAGCTCCAATGGCCCCAGGGAGTAGCCGTCTTTTCCCAGGGGAAAAAATCCCAGCTGAAATATGGTCTCACATTTTTAGGGTTTCAAATATTCAGATTTGATATCTCCTTTACTCGATAGAATATTTTATCAGGTCTCTTTAAGGTTCTTTCATGCCGTGTTTGAAGTAATTACGCGAAATTCAAAATAGCCAGAGAGTGAAAAAGACAACGAAATTGCGGAGAGTCAGAGATAATTTTGAACTTCGCGTAAGCCTTATTTTTCACTAATTTTCGTTTTAGTAGCTTTTCGTGAAAGGCTATAGTCCATCCACCGCGACTTGACAATTTTCGCGTGTCTGCGTCTCTCTGTTCCCTCACCGGCGACGTCAGAGAAACATGGAAAGATCACGTAAACATGAGAGAGACGTCGAGAGATAATGAGGGCACAGAGAAATCCCTTTCAAGTCACGGAAAATAGACTTTATCGTTTTGTAAAAATTATTCGAACCTGAATAGCTGGACCGAGGAAAAAGCCGGCCGAAAATCCGGCGTTGGCCAGAGTTATTGCTCGGAAACGATCTTCACGTGTACTCGCGGTTCCTATGAAACTGCGGACCACCCCGAGAGCTCCTGAGGAAATTCTTCGATAAAAGGCATAGAAAAACAATGATTAAGGAGTGCTGGAATTTCGGTGGCAAGGACGGTTTTTCTTAGAAATTTTCTGAAAATTGAACACTCCTCGATGTACTCGAAGAAGATTCTGAAAGTCTCAACCTGCACAACTGCCTAGTTTTCGGAAAACAAGGCCCAAAAATAGCCCATTTCAAGTTTTGAGGGCTTTCTTTGGCTTTGAGGTGTCCTTTCCCAAACATTAGTAAGTTTTGCAGGTTGAGACTGCTAGAACTTTTTTTCTGGTACGTCTAGGAGCGTTCTGACCGATTTTTATAGCCTTTTTTTTTTATCAATTTAACTGTTGGCTCTTCTTATTACGCACCAAATTCTAATTTCTCATTAGTATTTCTCACTGACTGTATATTAATGTATGAAAGTCCCAACCGCAAAGTGAAATAACCTTCCTTGTGGGGTTATGATTTTTCGCGTCTTTCATTTGGATTCAAAAAAAATCTTCTCAAACTCGCCTTTTTTTCACTTCCCTCGAAAAAAATTGGCGGAAAAGGTACACATAATCCAAAATTCATCAGCCAACCTGATAAAAAAAAGACTAACCTGGCCCTATCCCTGTAAGGAATCTTGAAAAGAGCATTATCCACTTGGCATTCGGATCGAATAAGTACGCGAAACCGTAGATGAAATTTCCTTCAAAATTTAAAATAATTCGGAAAAGTTCCGAAGCTAAACTGACCCACTCCACTGACGCAAAACGCAAAAATGACCGGATTTTTGGTCGATCCACTGACTTGACTCCAGTAGCCCAGGGCCGGATTCGCCTTTTTTTAAATTTTTATTAATGATAAGTTCAATTTTCTAGACCAAAGTTGAACCAAAGTGGAGAAAAAAGCTTCATAAACTGAATTGTTAACATCATTTTGAAAGCTTATGCGCAATAAAAGAAAATTCTCGGGCAAAGTCGGAAGGGTGGATAATAGCCGCTAAAAAGAAGAGGCTCAAAAAAGGCCGCAGAAAGGCACCAAAAAGAGTCCCTCTATCGAGCCTTTAATGTTTTTTAGATTTTTAAAGACTCAAGAAGCGGTTGAAAAAAGGAGAGACAGCAAAATGTTACATAAAAGCCGATGAAATGGCGCAGAAAGGCAGCAAAATGGAAGCCTTTTGTCACTCTAGAATGAACATTTTTTGCAGCCTTTTCCCACCCTTCCAACTTCGCCTATGACAGAGACAGTTTTAAAAAACCTTTTATAAAATTAAAACCCACAATTGCACACCCCAAAGACATTAACCCGATGACGAACCCGAGAAAATCAACGGTAGCCGTTGGGTCGTTCTGAATTTCATTCAAATCGATTTTGAACTTCAAGCTATTCAAGCTTTCGAAATCACTATTAACGAATAATGTCTTTTTCTCCGGTTTGCAGTGAGCTATAGCTGATCTACGTGGCTTGAGCGATCGAAAAAAGGTCCTGACACGATAATATAAGAGAGAGTGTATTTTTAGGGGAGAGCACAGACAAGCCACGCCCTCAAACAAGTCGTGAATCGACTATAAGCCAATCAGACACTCCAGAAAAGATAAAATGTCATTTTTAAACCTCTGACAAATACTGCCAGGTCGACGTGAAATAAACGCCATTCTGGATTCCGATGAAGCAGAGGAGCACGCCGGAGACGTAAATCGAGAACCAGGGCGTTTGCCGGGACGCCAACTCCAACCTAACATGGGAAAAATTGAAGCTTATCTTCTCAAAACAAAAAAAAACAAACTCTTTAGCGCTGACGCGATTTGTTATCATCGTTTCGGCAAAAAATAGGGCTCATATTCCTTTTTCGTTTCCATTGCAGACGCCTCTTCATTTGAATAATCCTCGGAGTTTGAACTTTTTTGTCATTTTATCGACGAGAACTTTTCAAAGTATTGACACCTTTGAAATATTTTGATCTTTAAAACAGAGGCCCAATTTATCCCTTCAAGAAAAGAAGCCCTAAAGAGACTAACCTAACGCAAGCGAGCCTCGCGGTGAGTCCAGAAACCAGTACTCTCAAAAAGGCCCTTAAGGGGTTCAACAAAGTGCAGTAGCGCAAAGAAAACCCTTTTTTCGAAAAAATTTGAATTGATCACCTTTTTCAATATGTATTTCTTTTTCTCCTTTTTTTTCTTTTTCATTTTGCCGTGTTCAAAGTAATTTCCGCGAAATGCAAAATGGTCTCTGACCCTCCAAAATTTAGTTATCTTTCTCTTTCTCTGACAGCTATTTTGAATTTCGCGGAATCACTTTGAACACGGCATTTGTTTTTTTAATACAACAGAAAAAAATTGAAATTTATTGAGGACGCTTTTATTGGTGTGTTTATCGAAGAAACGGAAAATGTTTCAGAACTCAAAAAGCGTGTTAATTTTTTTCACAAAAGTTTCTCCAAAAACAATTATACATTTTTTTGGAACAGTTATTTTGCGTTTTGGAACAATTTTTCTACCGATGAACACGCCAAGAAAATAATGAACTAAATCGAAATTTCGACTTTAAAATCGCTCTGTTTTTGCATTGAAAAAATTTTGTTTGGATTTTTTTCAGCTAATAATCAAGTTAAAGTGTAATGGCCTTCGATTTCAGCAGTTATTCAAATAATAATGGTAAGAGAAAAACTATTGAAGTTTTAAAACGAAAAAGTATTGTTTCCAGCTGAACCCGCTCCAGAAAGCTTCTTGGACGACGACGACATTTATTCGGTTTCTGACGGATGCAATGAGAATGAAAATCAGATAAAAGCTGAAAAAGAGGCTTTTGTTGAAAATGTTAGTATGTAAGAAAACCATGAATGCGAATATTTTGAGTTGATGAAAAAAAAAAAAAGATCTCAGACATTTTTGAGTCTATTGTGCTTCATATGAAATTTCTTTTTCAGAACCCCGGAGAGCCATTGGAAAATGAAGATTTCTCGACTCCTCTTACCAAAACGAATTTGGGTAAAATTAAATCGAAAAAGAATCGAGAAAACAAAAAATGCATTTTAGAATGTCTTCTTGCCAGCATCGACAACAGACCCGCTCAGCACTTGAATGGAAAGTTTAGAAAAATATACAAAATTACAATAAATCTTCAGATGTTCTCAATGATCAACTCCTTGGTCAGAGTTATCCGACCAAAAAAAGGTTAAATCTTCAATTTTTTTATATTTATTTCGTTTATTTTCAGAAATTCCCAATCAAAGTTTCTCCGACCGGACTGTTTCTAGTCAAAGCTTTGTTAGTAGAGGTGATTTGATAATGGAACAACTAAAATTTCATTATTTTTTTTTAGCTACTCCATCGAGTAATGTTGGTCGGAAGAAGAAACTAAACTTTTTCTACGATGATGAGAATAAAGTGCCAACTGTTAGTGGAAATGTTCCGGAATTAAATTGAAGCTTATTTTATGGTGTATTTGTCCAAGTCCGAAAGAGCGAGAAAAAATATTTTCGAAAAAAATACACCACCTTGTTTAGGAAATCTTCTTTGAAAAATTCAGTAGAAAAAAATCACTTTTTTTAGAAATTAGGTTTAAAAGTGAATTTTCAATTAATTTCTCGGACTTTTTTTAGATTTTAAAATGTCACTTTTTTTGAGTTTCAACATTTTTTTCACCTTCTTATTGAAGACTTATCAAACAAATAGCTTTAAAAAAACCCCGAAAACGATTTTTTTCTTAAACGAAGCTTTTTTCTCAATTAAATGTGTTTAGTTTGTTCCGAACTGGGCGGTTACTTTGTAACACAGCAGAAAAATAGCTACCGTAAAAACAGTTTTTCCACACTTTTGCTCTACAAATCTCCATAATTGACTTCAAAAGACTTCAAAAGACTGCAAAATCAAAGGTCCCTTAGTGATAAAACTTTGTATACGATCTTTTTTTTTACAAAAAAGCGAGAAACTCGCGCGGAATCAACTTTATAAAGTAACATTTTGATGTCAGTAATCTCGATTACTCTATTTTTTTGAAATGAAGAGAAACAATTTTTGTAGCTCTCCAAAAGTCAAACGAGATGTTTCATCAGAATGGTCAGGCATGAACAGGCCCTTTGGGACGAGAAAGAAAAAACGAGCATTGGCAGAATTTCTGCTCTATGGCATCATGTTGAGCTCGATATGAACTTTGTCAAAGTTAACAGAGGTTTTTTTTCAATTTTAAAAATTTGTGAATTTAAAAAAATGTTCAGGAAAAGGCGCCAGATGCTTTTGGGACCACCTTCTACAGAGATATTACACGGAGGGGGAGAAGTTCGATTTCTATAATGAAATGAAATTTCTGGAAAAGAACAACGTTCGGTATGCCTTTTCTGTGTGTAAAAAAGCGAAATTGAAATTATGGTCCTGCCACGAAAACCGTCATTTTATTTTAAATTTAAAGTTTTTGACGGTTTTATTTGTTTATGTGGTTTCAGGAGAAGGTCATGTTTGAAAAAAGCATATATCATATTATATCATAAAAACTTTTTTTGCATTTTTCGTTCCGAGACCCTAGAATTTCATAAATAGAGCAAGTCTATGCGAATGAAAATGAAGTAAAAAAAGAGTTTCATTGTTTTTATTTATTAAAATGCTCGTAGAAAAATTGAATTCCTAACCATCTTATCAGATTTTTTTCATGGACAAGTTATTCAATTTTTGTATTTTTCTTTTTCAACTTTTGGAGGAAAGTAAGTTCACTTCCATAGGGAAAATTTACGATTTTGGCAAAAATATCAAGTTTTTTTGAATTGCGAAAATCCTTTTTTTCTGAATATTTATTTATTTTTTTCAGAGGAAGGTCTGCTCCGCCCATCGACCATTATGAAAAAAACCGACAGAAAGTCCTGAAAAATTCAGAAGAATTACGTAAGTGAATTTTATCAAATATTCTTTTCGAATTATGAGGAAATAGTTATTCTCAAGTCAAGTTGTTTTTCCGTCTTTCTTGAGGAATTTTTGTAAGTTTCCGGTTTAAAAAAAGCGAGTTCTCCAATCAAATCAGATTATTCTAATGAAAAATTTCTCTGAAATCGGAAATATTCACAATTTGAAATATTTCAGACTTTGAAAAACGATTGGTAATCAATTTTTTTAATCATGAATATTTTATTGATTTTTTTGAGCGTAGAGACTTGATTCTTCTTGAGAATTTTAGAGTGGTCCCTATAGGGGTTAGGGGGAAAAACATGCCCTAGAGGGAGCGAAAAAGTGTTCTTTATAGGGGTAAAATCAAGGTGGTCCCTAAAGGGTCTAAACCATTAGCCCCTTAAGCTTAACTGGTTCTATATTTTTATTCAAAAAGGTCTTTTTTGTTTTCCGCATGGAGTCCATGAAATGACTAGCATGTCTTCTACAGGGGCCACTAACTAAAATCCCTAGAAGGACCCCTCTTGAAAGCTTTAGTGGCCCTTATCGGGGTTGGTAAAATGGTGCCTAGAGGGGACCCTCCAAGGGCCTCTCTAGGGACCACTCTGAAGTTCCGAAGTTCGGCTATTTTGAGTCGAACTGGAAACAAAAAAATGTACTGTTCTTTATAGAGAAACGCCCAGACCTGGTCAACTCGAATCGCAAAATTGAAGATTCCAAGATTCGGGCCGCGAGAACGGGCTCAAGATACGAAGTGATCAGTATCCCAAGCACGTGTGCGTCTTTCATTCGGCTGGTCGCCAAAAGGGCCGAGGAGCTCTACGATTTCGATCCGGACAGCGCTTTCGAGACGATGAGCCTCTGGGCAAACGCCATGAAACTCCCCTGAATCACCCCTTTTTTTCCAGAATTCACACAGTTACATGTATATTTGTTAATTTTTTGCGTTACCGGGAACTTCGTTCCCTTTTTGTTACAGCCGATTTTCGAAACAGAGTAGTTTATTTTGTTATTGACATTTCAGACGTTGCTAAACCGCATGAGTTTTTCGAACTAAAATTTTTTTCTATTTTTTTCTTTTTTGACAAGTTGAATAAAAATACTAATTTATTCAACATGATTGAAATACTTGACAAGAGCAAAAATGAAACAAGATCTCTCGGGAAATTTACAGAAATAGGCTATTTTTCTTTAAGAAATCATGCACCAAAAGTGAAAAAAGGAAAAAATTAATATTGAACATGAGGAGTTATTAACAAGATATGTAATGTACAAGAGGAATTTCAGACTTTTAATTCTGGTCGCATTCGGAATGGCTTAGCGCGGTTGATGGAATCAAGTGCACCCGACCGCACAACGACTTTCGCGGGGGCGTGACTTGTCTTGGAGGAATATTCAAGTTCTGAAAGCGCAGTGCCGCAACGCGCTCAGTCATTCCAAATGCGACCGACCGGTTTCAAGTGGTAGAAAAATGATCAACTTGACACGATTAAAATTAATATGAACATGATTGAAATATTGTACAGTTTCCTACTAAAAAATGCATAAAAATTAGAGAAAAAAAAATTGAAAAGTCTCAATATTCTAAAAAAAAACCTATCAGAACAAAAAAACCACATGCAAATAAAAAACAAAGGGAAGTTTGATTTGATCAAGGTGGTCCAAAACTTAATCAAAATCCTAAGGAAAAGTCGTAGTCATCATGGTTCCAGGGCGTTTTTCCACTGCGCGGGCTGAAAAAATATATATATTAAGCTGCCAAAAATTAGTTGGACTTTTATATTACCAAAAAAAACAAGTGTTTCAAAAATTCCTACCTCTTTCGTTGATCAAAAGAAGGTTCGGGAAAAAGCCAAAAATCGGCAGTTTCTGAGTGGTCCCTCAAGTGTTGGGTAGCATTTCGAGGCGGCGCTTCGATGGCGAGAAATTCTGGAGTTTTTAAACTTTAGAAAACCTTGTTAAAACATTGTATAGTCTGTTCAGATTTTTAATGTTAAGAACAATTACGTCATTCGAAAACGCTCTGTGGATGGCTCGCTCTCTGATTGGTTTAACGCACCATTAGGGGCGGAGCTTGAGCGACGAATTAACATTCAAAATCTGAACAGACTATAACTAGTCTAAGCCATCTTTTCCTAGCCAAAAATCTTGTATGTAAGTTTTCTTTTCCTGCTTCTATGACCAAGGTGAGAGAAAAAGCGCAGAAATCATGAGGTAAAAAAGGCGTGAAGAAAAACACTCAAATTCATTCACCGCTGTCTTGGGAATCTGAATGAGGGTCTCAACACGATCAGCAAAATATTGTGCGAAAAAGAGAGGTTCAGACGTCTCTTCAGTTAGTTTTGTCTCAAGCTGTTGATGACAGGAGTATAGCCTTCTATTGAATTTAAAAAAAAAAAAACTCGAATTGTTTCCATTTTTTTCTTCGTGTCGAGGCCATTTCCGGGCAGTCTAACATCATTTTGAGACGTCTTTTTTCCAAGATTTGCAAAGAATTTTATATTTTTACAGATTTTTACTTCATTTACCTGATCCAGGTCGATGAGAATTTCTCATTTGCTGAGGACAATGAGGACAATTGCATTGGGAATGGGTAGAAGATTCGAGCCAAGTGATTTTTGGCAAACTGTTCCCGAAATCTTCCCGCGGGAACGGCTCGAAAGTGAAATTGTCGGTCTCGATTGGCCGTTGAACATCTTTTTTCGGCAGACTCGAGAACTGAAAATGAAATTTGAAAGCGAAAAACATGTTGAAATTGTTTGTCAATTTCAAAAACTCACTGAAAATTCATTCCGAGCTTTTCCGGCCGGTGAAAATTCCCTCAACAGTGGCGGAGTGTTGGAAAAGCGCCAGCTGGGGATTTTTTCGACGCTGAAGTTAAAAATCTGTGAGTCAATTAAAATTAAAAATTTTAGAAGATATCAAGAATTTCTAAAGAATAATAAGCAGAAATCTTCATACTTTTATTTAATTTTTCTTTTCAAAAAAATAAAAATCAAACTTTTCAAAAGGTTCTGTAAAATCTCCAACGAAAGGAACCAACGCGAGAAGATCCTTGTCGGCAGGCTGAAATTATGAATAATTTGGAGTTTTCTTCGGAAAAACCCGGACCTTTTCGGTCGATGTAGTCGGATTATAGGACACGGCATTGGTTGAGTCGAAAAAAATTGCGCAAATTCTCTACAAAAAAATTATGAAAACCATAATAAGTCATAAAATTTAACTTTAAAGGGTTTAATTAACTGGCGGTAGATGATATAGCATTAAAAAAAAAACTAGAAAATTTCGAAAAAAAAAGACAGAATTTAAAAAGAAGAGATTATTCACAATAGCCTAGTTTTTTTCAATTTTTTTAATTTGAAAAGAAAAAAATGGCACTGGAAGAAGCAGTGAGTATTGCATGATCCAATAATTTTCAACTCAAAAAATGAACTTTTCCAAGGCCGACGGTGGCGGCAAAACAGAATTTGCTTTTCGGTTCCCATTCCCACGGAAATAACTGAAATGAAGTTATTTCAAGCATTTTCCAAATAAAAAACTGACTCAAGTTCGTTGCCAAAAGCGTAATCTTGTCTGAATTTCGACGCGATCTCACAATTCGGTACGCGACTTTTTCGGGTCACTATTTCGTCGCTCGAATCAAATAAGACGTCCATTATCTGATATTGAATAAGTTATTTTGAGACTTGAATCGCCGAAAAAGGTTGAAAATGACTCTAAACGTTGCGCGTAGTCGGTTGAAAATGGAATTTTTGATTTGGTACTTATGCTGGAAGTGCGCCCGACTTTTACCGACTTCCAATCTTGTTTACAAAGTAGATTTATGACAACCCAGCTGAAAACGCCGTTCTAACCTGTCTGCAACCTCTTTTCCCTCCTTGGAAAAGTCATAGAAACAAAAAATAGCAAGTAATCACGAGAGAGCGCAGAGAAACTAGAATTTCCAAGTTCAGAGCTTTTATTACCGGATCAGGATCGCAGTCGCGATAATTTCCCAGAAAAGGCAATTTCGGACCAGGCAACGAATCGTAGATCTTAATAAATCTTTTCTTTGCTCAATTTTTTCGACTCACCGTTTTGCCCTGCATTCGTTTCAAGACCAGCGACAAAGCGGCCGTCGTGTAGGTCAATTTTTGATTTTCGGTCATGTAAAGACTTTCGAAGATCTCAGAACCGTTCAACGTTTCCAGGCAGGACTCGTACCGATTTTCAGAGGCTCTAAAAACTTTTTTTGAATGAAAATTAATATAATTTTTGGTTATTGGACTTCTTCTTGTGCACTTTTATCCATGGTGGAATTTTCAAAAAGTTTTAAATGAATTTCAAGAAAAAGTACCAATTTTTTTCACTACTTCATTTTCAACTTCTGTTTATGTACATTAATCGTAAAAAGTCATTCAAAAAAAAATTTATATTTTTAACCTTCCCGTTTTTTTCAGCTTCAATTAGACGCGAAACTTTCGCATAGCTGACTTTCTCACTATTCCTTTCACCAATTTCCTCCAATTTCCTGAAAAAAAATATTGACATTTAAAATTGATTATCTTCCTTTCAAACCGTTTCAAACGTTCATTTTTAGGCGGTGAACCAGAAAAACTCGAATCTGGTGACATCAAATCCCACAATTCGGCTAGAATCCTAGTTTAACTTTATGATTTCCTGAGAAAAAACCTTCATTATTTTGCTCCTCATGCTCCACTTCAACCAATCCCTTCTCACTGAAATTTTAACTTTTTTTTTCTTCATTTTGCAAAAAGATTCACTTATCAAAGGAATCCTCCAGCTCTTGTTTTATTGAGAACTCTGAAATTCAAATAATTATTAGAAAAAGATAGATTGAAAACCGCCTGGAGAATTTCTCTCAATTTCTTGTTCCTGCTGTTCTGCTTCAGGTCCGAAACCGTTTCCAATGAATTTATTCATAATTGCTCGATGGTACTGAACTTATATTAGACTTATAACTTTAAGGTACTAGAAAACACTAAGGCGACCTCCCGAGGGTCTTATCAAAGCTTCCATTGAAGGGAAATTTTTTTAGCCTTGAGAATGAAAAAAATATTTCTCAAGTGCTCTTGAAAAAACTTTTTTTTGAAACTACTTCAGGTTCTTTTGAATTTTGTGAACGATAAAAGAAATAAAATAACAAATTACAAAGGTTTCTGCTGCGGAGAAGCTTTTTTTGAACTTCTAGAATTCGCGAACATTCCCACTGTTGGTTCTCGGAAAAGCCCTGCTCTTCCTTCTTCTCCAACCAAAACGCTCTTAAAATTCAAATTTTGCATAATTTCGCTTTTGGATTTTCAACTTTGAATGTCGGCGACTTCGGCCGCTGAGTGAATTTGCTCCAATGCTTCGGTCCGCGGAAAGGTGAAGCTTGAACACGATGCAATATCAATTATTTGAAAAAAAAAACAGACATTTAATCTTCTTTTTTTCGACTTTTTCTCAACTACTCCTGGCGCCCATCTGCAAACTTTCTTCGTGTTCATCTTTTATATCTGAAAAAAATTTTTAAAAATATTACTGAAATTCAAGAAGTTCAAAAAAAGTCGAGGAAACGCGTATTAAATCAATTCAAATTCAGCAAAAATTCAGAGATTCTTTGCGCTAGTGCACTTCCCTAAACCTCTTGAGGGTGCTTCTAAGTGACACACAGTTCAATAGCGCGAAGAAAACATGAGTTTTAAAAAAAATTCAATTCATCTTATTTTTTCTTGTATTTTGTTTCTTCTTTTTTCCTCTTTAGTTATTGTTTTATATGTTATAACAGAAACATAGGTAAAACTGAAAAGTTTTTTTGCGGATCCTCGAAGGATCCTGAGAGGGAGGTAAAAACGTTCCTAAAAAAAATCTCTTAAAATGACGTGAAAAAGCTGTTGAAATCCTTTTTCAGATCCTTTTTGCTGGGATCTTTTCAGTTGCATCTTTTTTGTTGAAGAATATAAATGAGGAGCAAGAATGAAATTTAAAAAAAAGGTCTGCTGGCCTCTCCGGAGACTCCTACAAAGCCTTTTTTCTTGGAAGAAGCTTTTTAGGAGCTTTCCCGTCTTTCCAGAGTCAAAAAGTATACCGAAGACGTGTTTATCGGAGAAACAGAATATGTTTCTAAACGTCTGCCCTCCTTTCATTCACACGAAGAGATTTTTCTCAGGGACACATTATATTCATGTATTTTTTTTGGTTTTATTCTAGATTTTTTCTATTGTGGTTTTTCGTTTCGAAACTTAATAGTAATTTCGAACGGTCATTAATATATGATCAAGGTGTTGTAGAGTACAATTGTGGAATGTGTGGTGAGGCGTTTCGGTCGCAAACACCACGGCACGAAAATTTTTCGAATCTGGCGTTTTTCCAATTTTCATAAATTGGTTTTCTGAGAAAGATAGTTCTTTTCTTTAAACTTTTCCAACGCTTCTTGTTCAGTGTTTTGCTCCAAAACTTCGCCTAAGTCAGATGTTGTACAATTAATTTTTTTTTTTTTTTGGCTGTTTTTCTTGTCTGATTTCCTGTTTTTGAGGCTATTTTCACTTCTGATTAAATCTTACATCTAATACTCTAGTTAATTTCAAGGAACCCATTGCACTTGAGGGAAAATGGAAGAAATCCCACCGAACAACACGTTGTACATAAATAATCTCAACGAGAAGGTCAAAAAAGAAGGTTGGGAAACTTTCGTGATTTGTGGTAAGCAGCTTTGATTTTTTAGAACTTCGCAACTCTTTGATTGCCGTCTTCAAGCAGTTCGGAGAAATTTTGAGCGTCATGTGCTTCAAAACGTTGAAAATGCGGGGTCAAGCCCATGTCATTTTCAAAGAGGTGACTGAATACCTGTATTTTTTTCGAGAGTAAAAAAATTTCAGCTCGAATCAGCAAAGGCGGCCAAAGACGCTCTGAACGGTTTTCCTTTCTATGAGAAACAGATGGTATTTTTTCGAGATTTTAAAATGATTTTTTTTTTCGTTTCAGCGCATTCAATTCGCTCGCGAAGATTCCGATTCAATCGCAAAGAGTAAAGGAACTTACGTTGAGAGGGCTCAAAAAGCCCCGGCGAGGTTGCAGAAAAAGAGAAAGGTTTTTTTTTGTTCTCTAATTTGTGATTAGGTTCATTCGCATGGAGATTTTCTCATAATTCATTTTCGCTTTAAACTGAAATGTGCTTAGAAGGAGTAAATAGCTATTTTTACGACTTGAGTTTGCCTCAAATAGTTTGTAGATTTTTTTGAGTAGTGTGTTTCAATCGTTTTTTTTTCTATTATTTCCTGTTCTTAATTATTTTAGAGACGTTATGTAATGTTTATAGCTTTAGATATAGTTACAAATATATGTATATATATATGATTGTAGAAGTTAATTAAGAAGGACTGTTTGAACTTTTCTTTTAACTTGAGTTTTCTTACCTTTTTTTCTAAGAAAAATCCTCCTAATTTTATAAAAATTGCAATTGAAGTATTTAAGAGCTTTTCTGTTACTTATACGATAAATTTTTCTGGAAATTTTAGAACCGTCCTCGTGAGAACGGAGAAGGACCGGCGCCGCCCAACAAAATCCTCTTCTGTACCAATTTGCCGGACGATGCATCGACGGATATGCTTGAAATCCTTTTCAACACGTTCGTTTTGAGAATTTCACTAAATAAATGAAAAATGGATGTAAAAAGATGTGAAAGAACGCTCACAAGTCCTTGAAAACGTGGTTTGTGTTTTTTTTAACGGAACTTTATGGCGTATTTTTGTGAGTAATGGCTCGAATTGAAAACGGAAAAACAAGGTTTTAAGAATCTTATTCAATTTTTTAATAATTGGGTGTTTTTGACACCCTTTAAAGTTGAAAAAAAAATATGAAAATCGACCTTTGATACATTTTTTGAAACTTGTTCACTCCTTTTCAAGGCGTCTATTTTTTTCCAGTTGAAGTCTGTCTTTGAACGACAAAGTTTTGCAGAATGTACTGTAGTAAATTGGCCGCAAAACAAAATTATTTTGGTTTTTCAGTTGTCAATAATTTTTTTTTGTTTTTTCATGAAAAATATATAATTTTCTAGGTTCGCTGGCTTGAAAGACATCCGAATGGTGCCGAATCGGCCAGGAATCGCATTCGTCGAGTTCGACACTGAAGGCCAAGCTGCTCCAGCTCGCGTCGCTCTCAACAACTTCAAGATCTCGCCGGAACACACGATGCGTGTGGATTATGCCAAGAAATGAGCTCTCGATTCTTGTATCAATGTTGTTAATCCATTCAAATGATCTTCCTCTTGTTCCTTTGTTTTTTTAATAAATTATTTTCTTTTTTTCTCCATTGATTCCGTTGAAACTGTTTTGGACAGAAAAACTACTTTTTTTGTTTAATATTTATTTTACTCGCCACAGAAAAAGTGTTTTGCGAAATGAAAATGGTTTTAAATGTAGGAAAAAAGATTGTTTCATAGGATATTCCAGCTAATAACGAAGTTATTTTTCTAGTTTCCAGGCGATCTCAGAAGTAAAGTTTCAAGGGAAATTTTATGAATTTTTTTAAAAAAATTTTGTTAAAATATGAAATAATGGAACTCTTGATGCAATTTTTTTTATGCAGTTTTTTTCCTCAAAGTCTCAAAAAAATTGTCGAAAAACAGGCTTCCAACTGGAGAAAAAAATTATTTTCTAGAACTCGGAATAGGACTTTGTAGAATTACGAATCAAAATGAACTTTTTATCACTCAGCTTTGAAAGATTTTTTTGAGAAATTATTAATTTTTTTCAGATTGGTTGATTAGTATAATGTGTCAAACTGTTGAACCACTTATTTTTTTCAGTTTAAAAATTAATTGAAAAAACCTTTTGAGGATGGCTGATATCAAACCAAACCACACGATTTACATCAACAACCTCAGCGATCGAGTGAAAAAAGATGGTTTGAAGAAAACTAAAAAAAAGCTTGAGTTTTTTAAAATGTTCAGAGCTCAAAAAGTCGCTTCATATGATTTTCACGCAATTTGGCGAGATCATCGCCGTAATGTCGTTCCGGACGGATAAAATGCGTGGCCAAGCTCATGTCGTCTTCAAAGAGGTTTTTTTTGTAAATAAGCTGTTTTTATTATTTTTCTGTGTTCACACGATTTCCAAATTGACGTTTCTTATACTCATTTAAATTCATTACGCGAAGTATGCAAATTTTTGAATTTCTTTTGAAAAAGTTGGGTTCTAAACGAGACTTTTAAGCGAATTCAAAACTTGTGTAGTTACTTGAGCATTTTTTGTACATAAACGAACACGACGTAACTAAAAAAAATTACAGGTATCTTCCGCTTCCAACGCTATGCGCGCCATGCAGGGATTCCCATTCTACGAAAAGCCTTTGGTAATTTTTATCACGAAAAATATAATAATAAATACCTTTTTTTTCAGAGAATCCAATACGCCAAGGAAGATTCTGACGTGATTTCCAAAGCCAAGGGAACTTTTGTCGAACGGTCACAGAAGTCGAAAAATGCTATGAAAAGAAAGCGGGTACGGTTTTCTATGTGGTGAATGGTCGAGTCCCGAAGTTGAACAATAATTTTTTGAATTTTTAAGCGAATTTTTACTTTGAAAATAAGAATATAAGATTTTTTTTCAATCTCAAAGGCTTCTTCTTTTTTTATTTTTTTTGCCTCATTCTCCTCAAAAAGAACGTTTAAAAAAATACGCTGGGCCTTCTCTTGAGTTTTTTTTTCAGATCAGTCTTTGGGTTTTCTGTTTCTTATTATTCTAGGAAAAATCTGTGTATGTGTTTTTTTTTTGAGAGTGTTTTTAGACTTTTTTTGGACTTCATGATGAAGTTTGCTCGGATAAATAGGACTAAATTTTGCAGCCGGCCGGACGGAAAGACGGCGACGATGGCCATGCGGCACCCAATAAAATCCTGTACCTCTCCAATTTACCTGAAGACGTCAGCACGGACACCATCCAAGTTATTTTCAACCAGTACGTTTTGGATGATTTATTTATTTCAAAGAAATTTTCACTTTTCTGGCTATGCTCATAGTAAAGTTCCGTAAAATCGGCTTTCACGTGAGCAAAAAGAAGAAGAAAACCTTTCTTGAATAACGAAATTTCCCTACTGAAGTTTGAAATGATTCGTAGAAAATTTAACTTGTTTTTGTTTCAAATTAGGCGCCAAGGTGTTTTTTTATTTAGGAAGGAAGTTTTCATATTTTTTTGATTTGAGCTAGGCGAAATTTATCTTATAAGAGAAGCTTTAATGTCGTCGAAATTCACATTTTTTTCTGAATTAAAATTGTGTAGTTCATATTGCAAAGCATCATAGAACTATTGAAAAGAAAAAATCGCAGTTTTTAGTAGTTAAATTCGGAATCAGGGTGTTCGAAAGTACTTTTCAGCCGATTTCCTCCGATTTATTATCTTTTTGAAGTTCCCTTTTGAGGCCTTCTCAAGTTATCACTTTTCTTTCTATCTAATAAAATTTGCGGGTCTGAATACATATGGACTTTGTGTGTTCCAAAGTACATCTCAGCCAATTTTTATTGGGTTCTTAACCTTTTGAACTTTCCTCATGATGCTTTCACTAGCTTTCACTTTTTTTTTCCAAAACTTTCAAGCTTGAACTGAAATTCCAGATTCCCTGGCCTGAAAGACGTTCGATTAGTCCCAAATAGTGCGGGAATCGCTTTCGTCGAGTTCGAGAACGAAGAACTCGCCGAACCGGCGCGCGAAGCTCTCGACAACTTCAAAATCACGCCCGACATGCAGATGAAAGTCGACTTTGCCAAAAAATAATGCATTTTCCCTCATGTTCTCTGCTTTTTTGATGAAAAATCTGTTTGGTTGTTATTTATTTGTTCATTTCTTGCTTTGAAACATTTTTCTATCGTACATAAAGTTCATTTTTTGTTAATTTTCAATGAAAATCAAATAAGAAGAATGTTCTGGAACAGTATATTTATGAAGAAATTGAAGAAGAATTTTCCAGTGATTTGTTCAGAGTTATTTATGCAAACTGGTTTAAAATCAATCTTCGCACAACCTTTGTAAGTTTGGTTGGTTATATTGCTTTTTTTGTATTTTTTGCTGACTCTTTGGGAAACTGCTGTAAGTTTATATTTAAAAAAGCATGTCTTTTTTTTTTTCGTTACGGAATTGGAGAAAAATCGTTTTTTTTTCCCTAGAGACCATTTTTGAAAAATTGACAAAGTGTTTTAAGCCGAAAACTTATCCGAATTAGAAGATTCCGACGGTTTCAATCGACAGAAGTACCCGAAAAATGTTGGAAATGCGAAAAATCTTTCGCCGGTGGCAAGTTTTGCGAGTCTTGTGAGTTTTCAGTAGGGTTGAATTTGAAAATTTCGATTTCATTTAGGCCAAACAATACAGCCGGTGATTGAAAAGAATCTTTTCAATTATGTTGGTGTACCTCTTTCTTTCAATGTGGATTTGGCAGCGCTGAAGAAAAAGTTAGTGTTTTGCGAATCTTTGATTTTTTATTCCTTGAATTATTCGATTCATGAAGGCTTTTTTCCACCGATTTTCAAGGTTTTAAGACTTTCCAGTGGTTTTCAAATTTTCTGAACTCTTCTGCACCATTAAAGGCCGTCTTTTTTTGAAATTTTGAATATTAAACCTAGCAATCTTTCTTTGATTCATTGTAAATCGAAAAAGGCCTGAAACCTTTGAAAGCTGCATTCGAAAAACGCAGAAAACTTACAAATACAGCCGAGAATCGAAAAAAGGGCCATAACTTTTGAACTTCGAAAACCCAAAAAACCGTTGTGTATTTGTCAAAAAAAAATTTATTTTCCAGCTTCCGCGACTTGCAATCCTCCGTTCATCCGGACAAATTCGCGCAAGCCAGCGAACAAGAGAAGAATTATTCCGAAGAACATTCGAGAAAACTCAACGAAGCCTACAAAACCCTAACCGAACCCATGAAACGCGCCAAGTATATGTTTGAGCTGATGGGCGGGAAAAGCAAGGAAAAAGGTTTTTTTGATAAAATTTTCATTTTTTCAAGCAAATATATCTATTTCTAGGCGACCTTGACCAAGAGGCTCTTATGGAAATGATGGAGAGAAACGAGGAGATTTCCGAAATTACGGATAAGGAACGGCTAAAAGAAGAGGAGAAGAAAGTCGGGGTTCGTAAATTTTTTTTTGGCTGGAAAAAACAGGTCAACGCGAATTTTTTAATAACGCTTTTCTATAGAGTTTCATGATACTATAGTTGAACTTTCAAAATTTTTTTTCTTTAGAATTTTGGAGTGGTCTATTGAAAAATTCTATAGGGATTAGGGTGATAAACAGTGATAAACGGGGCTCCTAGAGTTTAAGTGGTCCCCATAGGGACTTTTCAGTTTTTATTCCAATAACGCTTATTTATCTAGTTTTCGCAAGGTGTTCTTTAATTATCGACTAGCATGTCCTCTATAGGGACCACTTACTGAACCCCTATAGGAAACACTTCTTCAAGCGTTAGGGGTTCCTATAGGGCCTGGTAAAAAGGTCCCTAGTGGGTGACCCTCCAAGAACCCCTATAGGGAACGCTCTGGAGCTCCTAAGTTTTTTATTTCGGAGTTTTGATCTTTAATAACCATCTGCAAGTACTTATTCAGCTCCTATTCATTCAAACTTGAAGATTTTCTTTTTTAAAAAAGGAACTAAACTTGAAACGCGTCTCTCGAAAAAAAAAAAAACTTGAAAAGCTGGCAAATTTACAGGACGAGATCCAGGCGAAGCTGAAGGATTTGGACACATTTTTCGGCGAGAAGAATATCGACGGCGTTTCTCAATCGATTACCCAACTCAGTTATCTTTATTCCTTGCGGAATGCAATACAGAAACGATTAAACCCCGGATTTACCTGAAATTAAAAGAAATTATTCTGAAAATCTCACAAATCTTGTAAAAATATTGAACAAAAGAGGTCTAGAATAGTGCAGAAATGTTTTTTTTCCTTGATTTGCTCAGTTTCCTTCAATTTTATCCTTTCTTTTGTCAAAGGAATCGTCATTTGACTGGTCGTATTTTATCCAATAAAAAGTTTATACTTTTCGAATTTTCTGTTTTTCGTTTGATCAGTTAGTGTTCTACGAAGCTACTTACCACATTTTTCGAAAGAGTAAACTTTTGAAAATGAAAAAAATTTTTCGAAGGCCTTTACTCTCAATTTCAAAATCATTATTCGTATATATAATGAAATATAAAATAAATAAAAAATTCTTTTCCAGTAAATGAACGACAGAGAAGGCAGCAGTCGCGAGCTCCTAACAATATTCGACGAGGAAAATGAATCAGAATCCATCACAATTCGCTCCGTGAATGGCGACTACTTCATCTCAACGCGAAAAGAAGCTCTTCTCGCCGAATCCAAGGCGCGAATCGTCGTGTCGGATTCCGACAGGCCTCCCTACCCAGTCCTTCCTGAACTCGTCCTGCTCCTCGTCGAGTTCGGCCACGCCGTCGTCAGAGACGCGTCCTCTGGAGACCTGCTTCAGTTCCAAGACCTCGTGCTGCCCGAAGATCCAAAGTTCGAAGTCCGACGCTTCACGGCACGAGACTTCTGGCGCAAAGGCTACTTTTTGGCTTCCGGGTCGAGGTTCGGCGGAGATCTGATGGCCTACATGGGCAGTCCGAATCAGCTCCACTCGGAATTCGTTATTCTCTGCTCTGCGGATCCAAATGTCAATGTTTTATCACTTATCTCTATCGCTCGTTGCTGCAATCAGGTCAAGAAAAAGCTAGTCCTAGCTCTTCTGAAGAACACTCACACTCCTTATTACCTCTCGCTCAGCTGGCTGCGACCCGAAACTCACTAATTACCGGTATATTTTGATGTCTTTTGTTATGATAAAGTTGTTATTGAGAAAATAATTGACTCTTTGACAGCAAAAAAAGAAAAAAGTGATCCCACGGAGTAGATTTTCTTTGGTCAATATTAGTATTTACTGGGAAAATGTTTAGTGGCCACTATAACTACTTGGAGAGGACACTAAAGTGGCCACTAAACCCACCTCTACAGTGGCCACTATAGCGGTTCTCTAATTAGTGGCCACTTCAGTAGTTTTTCATCCAGTATTCCTTCTAGCAGCTCTGATAATTTTATAACAAACAGATTGGACCGGTTATGTTGATCCATTGACCCCTAAAGTGGCCACTAAAAATTTTATTGGTCTAGTAGTAGCACTTAGACCTCTATAGTGACCACTAACTTTTAAGCCCTAAGTGGCCAGTGATTTGACCACTATAGTGGCCACTAAAACGTTAAAACCCTATAGAGGCCACTAAAAATTTTCCCAGCATTGAATGAAACCTTTTTTCTTCTAATCAGTACTCAAGCGAATCCTGGGAAGGTGAGCAGCAGGTGGTTGGAAGGTCTTTGAAAGTAAAACATTGAAAATGCCCGTCAGAAGCTTTCCAGCAGGCTTCTGATAGGTAAGTAGAAGGGCGGGAAGGTCCATAGACAAAGTCGGAAGGGTCCTCCGAGGGTCCATAAAGGCTGCTGGAAGGCTCTTCTCTGCAGCCTTTTTTGAGCCTCTCCCTTTTAGCGGCCATTATCCACCATTCCGACTTTGCCCGAGTATGGGAAAGACGTTTGACCACTTGCTGAGAAGCTTACTTCAAAGTTTTCGAAACCTTTAACAAAAAAAAACTCGAAAGTTAGCTCTTTTTATTGATTCTTCATTGCAGAAAGGGCAGCCCGTGCGGCGGCCTCCGATTCGAGGGTCTTGGCCGGCGGTAACTGCAAAATGAGGTTCGATTATTGATCCCAAAATTGAAAAAATCGAACCTTGACAAACAAACAGCTGTTCCATTCGCTCAAAATGTCCGTTTCAACCACCTTTTCCGACATCACGAGGGATTTGTCTCGTTTCGACTTACTGTAAATCTCAACATTCATTCAGAGGGTTTAAAGGCGCATAGACGTTAAATTGCAAATGGTCTCAAGGAGGAAAACTATTTTTAGAGGAAAATTAGGCTCGAAAAGTCACAAGGAAGGGAAAAAGTGAAAAAAAAAGTGAGCTTTCAAAACTTTCTTCAAAATCTTCAGGACCTTCATCTGGCTTTTCAAAAATTGCTCTGGATGATTTTCAGAAAACTCCAAACCGAAAATAAAATGGTCTATCTTGTTGGGATTTTTATGGAATTTTTCCTGTGAGTCTGTGAAAATTTTAGTGGCCACTATAGTGGTAGAAATAATGGCCACTCAAGTGACTATTTTAGGAGTCTAAGAGGTACTACTAGATCATTTAAAACTACTGTAGTGGTCAATAAGACGCAAAAAAGTGGCTTTTATAAAGGTGGTCTTACATGTTAGTAGCCATTTTAGTGTCCTCTCCAAGAAGTCCTTGAGGAACCTCTTAAGAGATCACTAGAGCTTTTCCTAGTTTGTTAATGAACGCCTAGCTTTTCGTCTTGAGACCTTATGCGTCTCTAAACTGTGTGTTATGAATAGAATAAATTAGGTACGTCTTTTTGACGGTCATGATCGACGTCGGCTCCTCCTTCACGTTTTTCAATATCTCGACGGCTTGCTTGGCAAGAGCCTGAACGTCTTCCGGAATTCGTACCGGCACGAATTTGCTCGCCGGATCTTTGGCTGCCTTAAAGAGAAAAAATGAAAATTGATGTAGATCTTGAGGGATCACTAGAGTGAAATTTTTGAATTTTTAAAGCTTTAAGAATCTCCGTTAGAGTATCCTCTCATGAAGATCTTTTAAGGGGTTGCTTAAGTGGTAGTATAATCTCCCAATAGGTCAACGTAGATTTATGGGACTTTGAAAATTTCATTTAAAAGGCCACTCCAACCTGACGCGACAAGAGGACACTTAAGAACTTGCTCGAAAACTGATCTGTTTGGGTTAACCTTACAGAGAAGATTTTGAGGGATCACTTAAGAGTAGGGAATCCTTAAATGTTAACAAGGCGGGGGAGGATTCTTGGATTTTTAGGGGTCACTTTAGTGGGAATTTGAATCGCTTAGAGCCTTGTCTGTTTGCCTAGACTCTGTTAAAGGACATTTAATCCGTAAAGTGAATAAAAAAAAATGGATTTTCTATAGGACCATTTTTTTTCTAATGTTACGGCGACGCTTTTAACCTTGGGTTGAACTCCGATATTTTCTATAATAAAAAAAACTTTTTCTCGCTTTTTTCAATCATAGACCGACCTTGATTATTTCCGGTTTTTTTGGGTTTTGCAGAGCTTTTTTTAAAGTTTAGTTGTCGAGCTCTGATTTTTTTATTTGAAAATTAAATTTTTCTTTCTCTTTTTTCAAATTCTGAGGTCTCATTAAACCGATTTTTTTGAAAATAATGAAAAAAGTAGGTTTTTTTTCGGGTTTGCAGCGGTTTTTATAGTTAGGCCGAGACTCTGATAATTTTAATTTCCCGCTTCTTTCTATAGGTCTCGATGAAACCGACCCCCAACTTGACACGAATGTAGTTTTTCATGCGATCTTCAACCGGCGTTTCGACTGTACAAATCACGAAACCCTTGCTGTCCGTAGCCCTCTTCAATAGTTTTCCAAGCTGAAAAGTTCAGAATTTCGTTTTTAGAAGGATAAATTGCATTCTAATCATGGTAGTCATTGTCATTTTACTGTTAGAATAAAGTTAGGAAGGACATATCTTCATAGATAAATTTTTGCTCAAACTGTAAAGTTGAAGTTCGGATCTTCATAAGGTAGAGAGCGTTCAAAAATGAGAGAGCTCTATTCTTTCTCTGAACGCTCTCTTGTTTCCTAGTGCTCTCTAGCTTCCGGATGCTCAAGTCCCGAACTTTTAGCGGGCACTTCAGGGTTATGATGTTTTAGCGGACACTATAGTAGTCGAATAAGTCGTCACTTAAGTGACTAAAGTTTAGTGGCCACTCTAGCGTTTTAGTGGTCACTATAAAAGACGAATAGTGACCACTTAAGCGACTAAAAATCAGTGGCCTCTTTAGTAGTCTGACTAGTAGCCCTGAAGGCTACTATAGTGGCCACTAAGACGCAGAACAGTGGCTTCTCTAATGGTGGTTTAGTGGCCACTTTAGTGTCCTCTCCAATCAGTCCTTAAAGAATCTCTTAAGGGGCCACTAAAGTGTTTCCCAGTAAAATTTTCGCACAAACCTGACCACAGGAAGCGACTCCTTCGCCCTCCACGGCGACGATACATTCTCCCACCGAAAATGTCATACTTGCCAAGGTATTCTCGACCGTATGGTAGACATAAACCTTGAAAATTGTCCATTTTTGCTCTTAAATTTGACGGGGCAAGTTGCATTGGAATAGCCTTACAAGCAAAATAGCCTTGTGGAAATAGCCACACAAGGAAGGTTTTTTTACCATTGAGAATTTTCTGAAAATTGGCCAGAACACTTCTAGATGGACCAGATAAAAGTCCTGAAAGTATCATCCTGCGAAAATTACTAGTTTTCGAGAAATGAGGGCTCAAAGCTCAAAAAGGGCCCATTTCAACGGACTTTTTTGATTTTCTTTGACTTTGAGACCTGTCGAAAGCTAGGAAATTGTGCAGGTTAGGATTTCTAGGATCTAAACCTGGTACATGGAGAAGTATTCTCTTCATATGTCAGAAAATTCCCCACCACAAATTAAAAAAGCCTCCATCGTTGGAATAAAATAGGCATAAGAAAAAAAAAAATTGCCGCGGACTTGAAATTTAATGGAACGACACTCCGGTGCGTGGCCGTGAAAGCCTTTGCGAACCTCGGCCGCGCTTTCAACTTTTTCTTTCTATTTCCAATTTTCACTATTTTAATCATATTTTAGTTGTTTTTTCGTGTCAAAGTTGTGATTTTCATTGCTTGTGGATAAACTGTTCTATTGTGAACACTTGAAAGTCGAGTACTTTTTCGAATTAGAACGAAAAAAAGCATCGAAAAATATTCAAAAAAATGTTTCATAACATATAGAAAAAAATCTGGTTTTAAAAATAATTATGTACAACAAAAAGATAACACAGAAAGAAATAGCCGCAGAAATATTTTAGCTCTGGAAAAATTGATCTTCGACGTTTTTTCAAGGCTTTTTCCTACAGTATCTATAACCCTACCTTCTTGTCAATTTCCTTCGCGTCAAGACCCATTTTGATCCCTCGAAGCTTGAAAAGGATCTTCGATTCGTAATCGAATCCCTCGGTTTTTTGAAAGCCTTGAAATAGAAAATTTGAAAATTTTAGCCTTTGTCTAGTTTTTCAAACCTTTCGGGAAAAGCGGCGGTTTTTTGCATTTGCGTTTCGGGCGACAAATCGAAAAAGTTATCTTCAAAACGATTTTTAATGAAAAAAGAAAGAGCCGCTCACCGGGTACTTATCCATATGTTTCTCATATAATTTACTCAGAATATCTCTGGAAATTTTTTTCGGAAAAATTTTTTTATTAAAAATTGAAACCTCGGATGGTTAATCATGTCATTGAGGGTCGTGTTGTTGAGTGTCAGCAAAATGTCCCCAGTTTTCAGTTTTCCCTTCAAATTAAATATTTTTCAATGATTTTCAAGTGAGAATATTGAAAAGGCTTGTATTAGAAGGAAAAAGCACTAAAGAACTCCAGAGTGGTCCTTATAGGGCCCTTGAAGGGTCTCCTCTAGGGACCACTTTACCGACCGCTATAGGGACCCCTAACGCTTGAAAAAAAGTTGATCGCTGTAGTAGTTTCAGTTAAGTGGTCCCCTATAGGGACATGCTAGTCGGTAATTTTTATGAACGACCGAAGCTTTTCCATTAGAAAAACTGAAAAAAAAAAACGTTTTTTTAAATGAAATGTAAAGACACCTATAGGGACCACTTAAGGTTTAGGGACTAACAGTTCAGACCCTAAAACCCTATAGGGACCACCTTGATTTTGCCCCTATAGGGATCGCTTTTTCGGCCCATCCCCCTGACCCTTATAATGGTCATAGACCAAAAAAGGGTAAAAAAAGTTTTTTTTTTGGGAATTTTCATTTTGGCTTTGCTGTTTGCGTACCCTAGGCTATAAATAACGAGAATTTTTTAAAATCGTACAAAAAATTATGGTTTTCAGGTCCTCAATCAGTCAAAAAGTTAAAAAAAAACCTGGAATGGACTGTCATAATGAGTTGAGGACACAACGAATCGTTTCGTTCCCAATGAAAGCTGCAATTTATCTCAAAATTCACCAAAAAGATGACTAGAAAACCCCTTCTAATCGCTTCAGGGACGCTTGAACGGAAATAATGTCCAAGTGCTCCATTGGAATCAACTTTTCTTCAAAAGCATCGAGAATTCTTTGTTTGATCACCTTGAAAGAAGAAAAAATGATTTACTGGGATTTACCGCTAGCTTGGGACAAAATTCTACTATTTCTAAATGAGACTAAACTTACTAGATGCGGTTTTTCACTCTGATTCCGAATCTAGGCTTCGAAATTTCTTAGGAGGTCTGTGAAAGAAGTTATGAAACTTAACATTTTGAAAAGAGGCTGGTCAAAAGTGTAAAAAGAGAATCCCTCAAGCTCGTGAATAGTTTGAAAAAGCAATTTTTTTTTTTGAAATTTCACTACTTTTTAATGAGATCAGGTTCACTAGATGCAATTTTTTTCACGCTGATTCCAAACCTAGGCTTCAAAATTACCTAGTAGGTCTGCGAAAGAAGTTATGGAACTCAAAATTCGATAAAAAGTGCTGGCCAAAAGAGTACGAGATCAGTCGCTGGACCATGTGAACAACTTTCAAAAAATCTTGCTTTATCCTATTTTTTTTTCCTTGAATTTCAGAATTTTTTCGTCATCAGGTATAACTAAATGACTTACCTGATGTTCCACTAAATCCGGTTCTCCAGTCATGGTTTTCAATCTAAGGGACATTCAACTGGACATTAACTTTTGGAAATGTTCTATTCGTTACGTTGTCGTCAGTTCATTTCCATTTTTTTTTCGGAGTGATTCATTAAATTAAGTGTCTGGTCGCAGTTAGAATGACTCAGAGCGTTGCGGTTAACTTGGAGCATTTTTTACGGAACCCGACGAAAAAATTGACCTCAAGCTTGGGAGATAGAAACGGGAAAAAGCGCTCCATGGACAAAATGTTACAATTTGATTCTGGCAAAGCTTTTACTTCTTGCAAGGCCTACATAACCATAAGATTCGAATTCTCCAATCTTTTTTCTGACCTGAAACCGTTTTTTTAAACTACATGAGAGAAAAAATAGCCCCTATAGAGGCCGAAAAGTGGCCCCTAAAGGGGTTGATGACCTGACCCTTTAGCCCCCTAAAGCTTAAAGGAATAGGGGCAGTAAAAACGGGGTTTCAGGTGAAAGCAGTATCTTATATAGTTTTTCATTGGGAATCGAACGGTGAACTTGGAAACGTACAGAAGTTCCTAGTTTTAAAGAAAAAATAATTCAAAGGCGGAGAGAAGAAAGTTTGTGTCCCGCGAAAAGGGCACTTTGCAGTAAAGTTGCTCTATGGACAACAGGCTTCGCCATCTTCCGGATTTTCGCTTTTTTCTCCGTTTCTTTCAAATTTCAAATTTTTCTGTTGTCACCAAAGTTCTTTTTGTCCCAAAAACTTTATATTCATGTATAGTTTGCAAACTTTAATTGCAAAAATGCTTTTCTGGTGAAAAATGATGATTTTACACAGATTTCGATGGGGATAGCGATATTTTGTGTTTTCTTTATTATCGTTGTGTTTTTTTGATTTCTTAATTTATTTTTTTCAGGAAAGAAACCTTTGCCTTATAACAGATATTCGGTTCTTTCTGACAAAATGCGAGTCTAATGAGACGTCCGCAACATCGCGTGCACGGCTACTGTAAACATTTGTCCGTAGGCCGATCCAAAGCTTTTTTCAAAATTAAAGGCGGGAAAGTAGAATCGCGTTTTTCTTCAAAAGTAGTCACATCTGTACTTTTTTTGAGTACACCGTTGGATTCGCAATGAAAAACTATATAGGATACTGCTTTCACCTGAAACCCCGTTTTTTACTACGCCTATGCCTTTAAGTAGTCCCATCTCATCCTTCTTGTAATAGGAGTAGTCATGAGCATTCCGCCGATCACTACTTCTTCATGTCCACGAGCCAATCGAACCCATTCAAATAAGGTTCGATTGAAGCACACATGCGCGGGACATCAAACGAGGAAAAAACACAGCCAGAAGCAGTGGATTGCGATCTGTCTCGCAGGTTTTTCCGCTCATCTCTATTCTGCCCCCCTCTGATGAGCGATTTTTAGCCGTCGCGCAATATTTCCGCGCAATGATGCGGCTTCAATTGATCAGCAGAGTGTCCATTGTTTAAAACGATTGGCAGCCGGTTGGGGTAGGCTGCTGATTTTGTGACGAAACTGTAGGGCGGGCGCAAAAATTCAACCCCTCAAAAATGGGTGTATCACTATCTCATTTTACTCGGATTTTGATATTTTTTGCTTCTGCATTTTTTTTTTCTGTCGCTTCCAAGAAGGCCTAAAATATTCGACTTTAAGCTTGACCACAGTAGCCGGGGATAGAAAAGAGGGAAAAAGCGCTCCATGGACAAAAATTCACGATTTGATTTTGGCGAAGCTCTTACAGCCTGCAAGGTCTACAAGACCATAAGATTTAAGTTTCCCAATCTTTTTTTTTGACCTGAAACCATTTTTTAAGACCGAATGACCTCGAAATTTTGAAATTCAAGAAAAAAAAGTTCCAAAAGGCTTATTTTTTCGAAAAAGGTTACCGCAAAGTCGGAAAAAGAACCATTGAAACGGTTAGAATGGGCTCTTTTCAGGGGAAACCTTAAGGTCCTCGGGGAGTACCCTCTAGGAACCACTTTACCAACCCTTTAGGGGACACTCAAGCTTGCAAAATGTGTCCCTAGAGGGGTTTTAGTTAGTGGCCCTTATTGGTCAAAAATTATTATAAACTCTCTGCGTAGAAGCATCTCCATGCGAAAAACTGAATAAATAAGCGTTTTTTGAATAAAGTTTAAAGGACCCTATAGATACCACTTGAGCTTTTAATTGCGGAGAGTCAGACCTTGAACTCCTATTACGACCACGTTAATTTGACCCCTATAGGGACCACTTTTTTGCCCGCTATAAGTGCCTCTTGTTCCCCTAACCCCTATAGGGACACCTCTGGAATCCCAAAAAAAGGTCTTTCTTGTGAGAACCCCAAGGAAGCTCGTTTCCAACGTTGTCCTGCAAATTTTTCAACGGCTTTTTTTCAGTACCTTATGCTTTTTATCAGGTATCTCTTGTTGATTGAGTAATGATCTAGGACTACCTGCAAAGGAAGTTTGGGCCATATGTGCCACTTCTCTCGTCACAAAAAGATGATTATTTGAATCGTAACAAATTTGGTGGCCATTTGAACTTACTTAATCATCATTCATTGCTTTGGGAATCACCTCAAGCACTTTCCGAATCTTCCTGATTGCTTTGAAAAACGAGAGGCGCCGTTGAATGGCCAAGAGGTCAGAAAGTAGGCGATCATGTGCGGAAATCACCGAAATTTCCCGAGTTTTGAGTTTTTTTCAATCAGTTTTCAGCAAAAAGATCAGGTCAAGCTTCAGAGAAAATGAATTTCATTAGAGTGTTCATTAGAGGGTTCTTGAGAACCTTTCTGGAAGCTCTCAACTTTTTATTTTCCTAGGTTGATGTTGCATAATCAACCTTGAAGCTTATTAAGTGTATAAAAGATCGTAGGTCATTTACTGAAGTTATAAAGTTAGCTTAAGTGATCACTAGAGTGTCCTCAATGCTTTGATCAGGTTTTTAATTTTTTTTTTGTTGTCATGACACAGCTGGATGCAAAAATAGCGATTTTTCTCTATCCCAGGGTTTAAAATCTTTAGAATGGTTGCCCTTGGAATGTCAAGAAGCGACCGACCTGAAACGACTTGCGATCTAAGCCATCAGGAAGCTCCGAGAACGCTTTTCTGAAGGTTTTAAGTTTCAGTGTCAAGCTTTGAGCTCAAAAACATGCGATTACGACTTTTAAAGTCACTCAAATCAACTTGATTTAAAGGGACATATCCCAAGTTCATAAAGGTCTGGAAGCGCATCTTCTCGGAAATATGACTTCCAAGACTAAAAAAAACTGAACTTTACACGGTATCCTTTGATAAAATCATACGAAAGTTTAAAGCCCCTAAAAAAAGACGTGGGATATCATACAGAGCTGATTCGGCCGTGTTGTGGGAAGGCCGAAAAAAAAGGAATTCGGTTGGCAAACCCGCTTTTTTGGCCGACCTTATCCAGCCTCACAAGGCTTCTCCTCTCCCAGCCATTTTCTCTTTCTTCGCGCGTCATTGGCCGTGACAACCGATTGCGTGAATATTTACCATCCCCCGTGGCAAATCTCTCTAGATCATGTTTCACGCAATTTGATTTTTGTTGTCCTTTCTTCAATTTTCTATCAATAACTTTCTAAATCACCAATTCATTCTTCAGATTTATTGCCTTTAGTTCTTCACACCTTCCATGAAAAGAGTAGGGTAATAAAAGATGGTTTAAAAAAGGTCGAGGTATTGGAATTCAACGAAACTTGGTATATAGGTACTTTCGGACACCCTGAACCCAAACAAGTTTAAAAAAATGAGCCTTTTTTGTTCTAGTCAAGTTATGACGCCTCAAAGCTTGCAAAAAGAGCATTAGATGGGAGGAGGGAATGTGTTGCCGCAACTGGCTCTAGCGCGACCAGGTGGCGTGGTGTAGTGGCTAAAGCTATAGCGTTGCGAAGCCGATATGCTGGTTCGGACCCTTTTCGGTGTAATTTATTTTTGCTATTTTTTCTTCGAAAAATGGATGAATTTTTGAAGAAATTTTCAATTTCTTCGGGATCAGGACCTCCGAAAGTACCTATATACCAGGTTTCGTTAAATTCCAATACCTCGACCTTTTGCACTTCCCGTGTAAGCTCTCCGGAAACTATTAACAGCTCTTTAACACCCTTTTTTCATCTCGAACTACTTTTCTTCATTTTACAGGACTTTAGATTTTTGAGAGATAAATTAAATAATCAATAGAGAGTGAATTTTCTGGCTCTGATTTTTTTTTCTTCCCAAAACTGTACTAATCTTTGATACATTTTTTTAATCCATTTTTTTCCTTTATCATGTTTTTTTTCATAATTTTCATTAACTGTAATGACTGTAAAACTCTCTCGTTTCTCACAATGTTTCTCTAATCGTTGCAAGACCCATTGACTTTTTTTTTGAAAGATATAACGGTTGCGAGATTTTTACAAACATCATTTGTCTCATCAAGTTGATGACGTTCAATTTTTTTTTCTTCTATTATTTTTCTAGCCGCCTTTTCAAGGCACTGTTATTTAAAAGACTATTTCTCTTGTCACATGCTAGCGATGAATGGACTATTAAGCGTTCACTAAAGGCCAGAAGGAAAAGGCCAAACTAAAAAAAACAGAGATTTCCGAACTGATTGAGGCTGGGAAACGGGTTTAGAAAGCGGAAATACATGGCCCTATTGGAGAATGATCCAAATTTTTTCTGGATTTTTAAAAAAATGAACTGATAGTCTAGTTACTGGGAAACTCTATTTTTTTTTCAATATTTCGCAAATTGACTTGGGATTTTTTTTTTTTAATTTTTGGGAGATTTAAATGAGTAATTTTCAGTGCAAATTTCAGGAATTTTTCATTTTTTTGACTGCTTTTTCAATGGGAAAACTCTTAAACTTCTGTAAAATCCTCACGATTTTGTACATTTTTTCCGATTGGACCTTTTTTCAAGTTTAGAGAAAAATTCGGCTCAGATTACAGATAAAAAAATTTGAAAGTTGATTATATTTGCCTTCAAAAAAAAAATTTAAACTGCTCAAACTATTTTTCCTATTGTTTCAGGACCATTTTCAGAATAATCCG